CTCTGGGATGGCCGCCTTTCCCACCTCCCAACGTGGCCACTATGTCCCACCACCTCTTCAGCATCACAAATCTTCTTCCTCTGCCCCAGAGACCCCCAGGGCATTAGAATTCTGGAACCTTCTCCCCCTTCATTTTTCTGTTTCTCCTTTTGGAAGCCATGCACTGAAGACCAGCACATTCAAACGCAAATATGTGTGCAAAGGAAACCCCAACGTCACCGCACATGCCCGAGGGCAGGTGGGGCCCAGGAGAGACCTGAGAGACCTTACCTTTGCACCTCTTGGGGCAGAGCAGCCTTCAACAATCACAGACCAAGAAGTAAAAAGCAGCAGGTGCCAGGAAGGGGAAGGGCCTGGTGTCCAGGCCACCGCATTCCTGGATTCAAACGTCCGGGTGTCCACGAAGTATGACCAGACACACGGAGGCTGATAAACCAGCAGAAACTGTGGCAGATCTACGAGACAAAGACTCTGAAACGACTGTCCTAAAGGGTAAAAGGATGCGGGAAAGTCGAGAAAACATGTATGAACCAAATGGAGATATGAGTGAAGAGCCCAGAAACCAAAAAGAAACCCAAAGGCAGCTCTGCAGCTGAGAAGTTCAGCGGAAATAAAAGGTCACCAGAGGGGTCAAAGGCAGATTTCAGCAGAAAGAAGGAAGAATCAGTGAATCTGAAATAGAACAAGGGAAACTGCTGAGTCTAAGGAAAGAAGAAAGGTTGGCGAGAAGGAAAGAAGCACAGGCTCAGGGACCTGTGCGTACCAGCAGGAGGACCAGGCTGTGCACTGCAGAAGTCCCGGGGGAAGAAGGAGCTGAGGGGCCACGAACAGTGAAGGGTCATGGATGAGAGAAAACGCCATGAGTCTGGGGACCAACAAGACTGTGAACCCCAAGAAACAGTGAGCACCAAGCAGAAGAACTCCGAGACCCACCTGGAGCACTTGGTGATGGAGCTCAAAAGACAGGGGTTTTGACAGCAGCAGGAGAGGATGCTCATGACAGGCAGAGGAGCCTCCGCAGTGTCACCAGCAGATTTCTTAGCACGGGTCGGAGGTCGTCAGCCTTGAGTTGACACATCCACAGGGCAGGAGGCGAACCCCCGCCCCCACGAAGCCCATGTGCAGCATCTCCAGAGCCACCAGGCCAGACCCTCTGCAGGAAGTGCAGGGTGTGACGCAGGGACCTGGCACATGGGGACACAGGGCCCTCAGCAGAGGTCAAGACGTGGCCGTGGTGAAGGCTGGTGGAACAGAGAGCGACGGGCCTCCAGCGTAGTTTTCTATGTGCCTAAGGACTGATGTTTCTAAATGAAAATAATGTTTCTCTAACAGCTAGTGTTGTGACCTGGGTTTGCAATTCCACATTTTATTTGCTAAGCAGTTTAAGAAACAAATGCACTAAAAGCATGAGTAGTTTTGGCACAATACACGGTGAGCCTCCACATCTGTGGGTTCCACCCACACACATTTAATCAACAGCAGATTGAAAATCTTTGGAAAAAGTCATATCTGCACTGAATATTGCAGGCTTCCCCTGCTCGTCGCCATTTCCAAACAGCACAGTGTGGCCGCTGTTGACCGAGCGTGCTGTCTGCATGTGCCGGTGTTCCAGACTGGAGAGGTGAGCGGGTTCCACGTGAACACTGCAGCATGCTGTGAGAGGCCTTGACCACAGGATCCTGGGCCACTTCCCTCCAGCACTGAGGGACAACTCTATAAAGAGGTGGTTTTGTGACATCATAGTTGAAAGGGATGGGGACAGAGCTGTTAAAGAAGCAGAGCTTTCGTATGTCACTGAAGTTCAGCTGGTATAAATTCAGCATTTCAACTTTAGGACGTTAAATGTAATCCCCATGGTAACCACAAAGAAAATAAACAATAAACAAATGTGAAGGGAATGAGAAAAGGATCTAAATGTCTCACTACCAAAATCAGTTAACACAAAGGAAGATAGCAGTCGCTTGCAGAAAATCAGGGACAAAAAGCCATACGGTATGTATAAAATAAATGCCAGTGGAAGAGGTCTTTCTTCATCAGTAGTTACTTTAGATTTTGGAAGTGGACTAAACTCTCCAATCAAAAGACAGAGATTGGTAGATGGATTTTAAAAACCGTGATCAAACAGGAGACTCGCTTCAGATTCGCACACAGCGGATTGGAAGGGAAGAACCACGGGGGGAGGTTTCGTGCAAATGGCCACAGAGAGCAGGACAAAGTGGACTTCAACCAGGACAAGTCCTGCAGACCAGGAGGCCTCAAGAGGGCTCCCTGCACGGGGAGACTGGACAGCAGCGTGGGGGCAGGCACCCCCCAACTCCACCCACATGTCAGAAAGTGAAGTGCTGGCCACCCTGTGGGGGGACACTCGTGTGGAGAGCCAGACCAGAGCCCCATTGCTGGGTTCCGACCTTAGCCACCAGCTGGCGGGGGGGGGGGGGGCACGAGGGGGCGGGGGGTCCCTGCAGTGGACCTGGTTCCTCCTCTCTGGGCGGGGAGAGCCACTCTCCAAGGGCTGATCAGTGAGAGGGGGCGGGTGTCCTGTGGGTCAGGGGTCTCAGAAGGTCCCTTCTGTTGAGCTCACCCTGTGTCCCCCCCCAGGGAGCCCTGCCTGCCCTCCACTGCAGGCCAGCAGTCCCCTTGGGGCTGCATTCTGTGTGCACAGCGTGGTGGGGTCTGTTGGCTGTCCCACCAGCAAAGACAAAGCTAATCCTGGAGATTTTGACTAAAATTGCATTCAATTGTAGATTCAGTTAGAAATAACTGGTTTTGTTTTTTTTTGTTTTGGGGTACTGGGGACTGAACCCAGGAGTGCTTAACCACTGAGCTACACACCCCTAGCCTTTTTATTTTTATTTTGAGGCAGAGTCTTCCTAAGTTGCCCTGGGTGGCCTCAAACTTGCAATCCTCCTGCCTCAGCAGCCGTAATTGCTAGGATCACAGGCACGCTCCACACACCCAACTGGGTTAGAAATAACTGATTTTCTTAATATCTGTTTAAGATATATGGACAATTTCTTATTCAAAAGCCAGATTTACATTTTTCTTTTTTTTTTTTTAAAGAGAGAGGGAGAGAGAGAATTTTAACATTTATTTTTTAGTTTTCGGCGGACACAACATCTTTGTTTGTACGTGGTGCTGAGGATCGAACCCGGGCCGCACGCATGCCAGGCGAGCATGCCACCGCTTGAGCCACATCCCCAGCCCCAAGATTTACATTTTCTAATGTATTCCTCAGGGGAAAAAAAATCCACATTTTCCCTCCACCTGGATTTATTTTTTAGGCGTAGATGGACACAACACAATGCCTTTTTTTATGTGGTGCTGAGGATCGAACCTGGGTCCCACCCGGGCTAGGGGGGCGCTGTGCCGCTGAGCCACAGTCCCAGCCCCCGTCTGGATGCGGTTAAGCGTCCTCTTTGTGGTGAAGCCTGTCTTCTCCCCGGTGTATGCCGTATTTCCCGTAACGTTTTCTGCTGCTCCCACTGATGGAAGCAGATCAGTAGCTTCTGGGCCCTCGGTCTCTTCGGGGGGAGTCCAGGGGCCGAGTGGGTGGTCTGGCTGAGGATCTCCCAAGAGGTGCAGGTGTGCAGTCAGGACTGAGGGCTTTGCTTCCGGGCGCCCCACTGTGGCTGCCGGCTGCAGGGCTGGGTCTCCAGGCATCTGTGTGAGGGGCAGCCCCGGGGGGCCCCAGACCAAGTGCCTTCCACGGCCTGGGGCCCGCGCCACCCTCTCTCTGCTCTGCTGGCCTCCGGCAGCTGCAGGAGTGCTGAGGGCGTCGGGCCCCACCGGGCACCGGGGTGGGCCTGCCTCTGTGCGACTGGGGTCTCCTCGGGGGTCTCCTGTGCCTCTGTCTCTGCCACCCAAGAGCCAGGCCTGCGCTCCCGCAGGAGGCCCCGCCGGCCCGTGGCCTCCCCCGCAGCTGCCCCTGCGTCCCTTCCTCCATCTCACGCCAGGCTCTGTCCTGGGGCCCCCGCTGCCCCCTTCCCTGAGCCCTGGGACGGTTCAGCCGTCTCTGGTGCCAAGCCTGTCACTCACAGTCCCCACTTTTCCAGCTGGGATGTTCTGAAGACCAGTCCGGAAGTGCCTCTCGGCCTCAGCAGCTTTCTGGAATTTAAGTTGGAGAGTCCATCTCTTAACGGCGTTAGTGCCCCTTCTCCAGTGGTCTCCCATGGGGAAGGACTGTCCTCAGCCTGCTGGGAGGGGACAAGGGCTACAGGCGGCTGCACAGCCTGGTGACAGTCCTTCACTGTGTCCTCCCAGCCCTCACCTCTGGCGCAGCCAGGGGCTGGGCCCTGGGTCATCCCATCCACATGGAGGGAGGGGGCAGGACAGCCCCTCGGGGCCCCGGCAGCTCCACCCCTCCCAGCGTCACAGCCTGTGACAACCTTGGTGACGGTGGAACACAGACCTCTCCACACCTCCTTGAATCAGCATCTCAGACAGTCCTCGAGCCTGTGCAGCTGGGTGCTCTGGGGATGACAGGCCAACGGGGACAGAGGGGCCAACTCTGGCCTCTCGAGTTCAGACCCATCCACTGGACACCAGGGAGTGTGCTCTGAGAGGACCCCGGCTGTTAGGTACCCACAGAGAGCCAGACTAGCGGTGGCCATGTACAACGCGGATGGGGCCAGAGGCAGAGGGACTCCAGGGACACACGTGGGGCTGGGAACTGCCTCCGGTGTGAGGCCAGCAGCCTCCCCTGGAGCGTGTGGGTGGGAGATGCTGGCCGCTGGTGTTTTCATTCGGCTCCCCTGGGTCTGTCTACCTATGTGCTTGGCTCCAGAGGGCAGGGAGGATCTCCATCATCCAAATCCCACCCAGAACTGAGCCCAGGTGTGCCCTCTGGAAGTCTGCAGCCCCACAGGCAGTGGGGGAGGCCCAGCTGCCCAGCCCAGGCCTGGGCCTCTGCCCCCTGGAGGTGCTGACCAGTGGTGTGCGTCAGCACAGGAGGGCTGTGACTTGTGGTGGGTGCCATCTGCACAGCCCTTCTCCTGTTGCAGGACCTCAGGGCCCACGACCGCTGCCAAGATGCTCCAGGGCCCCTTCTCCGTGCTCCTGCTCGGGGGGCTCCTGGGGGTCCTCCAGGCCCAGCAGCAGGAGGTCATCTCGGGGGGCACTTCTGAGCGGAACAACAACTGCCCAGGTACCAGGGGTGGCCGGGACCCTGGGACGTGGGTGGTGAGCACAGGGCACTGGCAGGCCCGGGTGGCAGCCTTTGCTGGCTGGCCTGATGGGTCCCTGCCCCCCAGAGAAGGCCGACTGCCCCGTCAACGTGTACTTCGTGCTGGACACCTCGGAGAGCGTGACCATGCAGTCCCCCACGGACAGCCTGCTCTACCACATGCAGCAGTTTGTGCCGCAGTTCATCAGCCAGCTGCAGAACGAGTTCTACCTGGACCAGGTGGCCCTGAGTTGGCGCTACGGTGGCCTGCACTTCTCGGACCAGGTGGAGGTGTTCAGCCCGCCAGGCAGTGACCGGGCCTCCTTCACCAAGAGCCTGCAGAACATCCGCTCCTTCCGCCGGGGTACCTTCACTGACTGCGCGCTGGCCAACATGACCCAGGAGATCAGGCAGCATGTGGGCCGCGGTGTGGTCAACTTCGCTGTGGTCATCACCGATGGCCACGTCACCGGCAGCCCATGTGGGGGCATCAAGCTGCAGGCTGAGCGGGCCCGTGAGGAGGGCATCCGGCTCTTTGCTGTGGCCCCCAACAGGAACCTGAATGAGCAGGGCCTTCGGGATATCGCCAGCGCCCCCCACGAGCTCTACCGCAACAACTATGCCACCATGCGGCCCGAGTCCACCGAGATCGACCAGGACACCATCAACCGCATTATCAAGGTCATGGTACGCAGTGCCAGGCCGGGGCTGCCCAGAGGCCTCAGACCTGTGCGGGCAGGCCTCAGTATACCCCTATGTGTGTGAGGACCCTGAGGGAGGTGAGGCCCCGGCAGGCCTGAGTCCTGGGTCTGCAGTCTAGACTCAGGCACAACGTGTACCCCAGACTGCGGCTGACCAGGTCTCTCTCTCTCTCCCGCAGAAACACGAAGCCTATGGAGAGGTGAGTGACACTTCCCAGCCCCCCAGCCCTGGCCACTTCATGCTCTGGGTCTCTGAGCTGCGGACCCAGCAGGGAGGACCACACCTGCACTCTAGCCCTTGGGGACTGGAGCAGAGGAAGAAGGGGGCATCATGCACCGTGGGCCACAGACACCTGAGTCTGGAGGGAGGACTCTGGGCCCAGCCAGACCACTTCAGCCCCGGGGGTCTGCCATAGGCATCGACTCAGCGCAGTCAGCCTGGGCGCCGAGAGTCCTGCCCACAGCTGGCAGGCTGTGTCCAGCCCAGACTGGGAGCCCCAGCCACCTGCCAGGTCAGGAGGAGGCAGGCAGCAGTGTGCCCGCTGGGGCCTGCAGCTGCAAGTGGCCTGTGCACCCCCCATGTCTGTGTGGCCTCAGCTCCGGCTCCCAGGAAAGGGAGCAGGCATCTGAGGTCACCGCCTGTCCCCAGAACAGCTGCAAGCCCAGTGGGTGTGGTCCCTGCCTACAGATGGTGCTTAGCCAGTGCCCACTGCTCTTTAATACTTGTGACTGCACATCGTGGCTGAACTCGGCCTCGCTTTTCCCACCCCGGCCTGGAAGCCTCTCTGGAAGCCCGCGTCTGCCCCTCCATCCTGGCCCAGGATTCCAGGCGGCTTGTCCCACCTGCTTGACCCACTGTCCCCCCACCTTCTCATTCCAGTGCTACAAGGTGAGCTGTCTGGAGATCCCTGGACCACCAGGCCCCAAGGGCTACCGTGGACAGAAGGTGAGCTGCCCGAATGGCTCAGGGGGACACACCTCCGAACCTGTCTGAACTCCACCTTGGAGGCCAGCCATGCTGTGGACGGTCTCAACACTTCCAACCTGGAAAAAACGAGATTTTGAGAAAAGTAGGAACTTCTTAAAAACCTTTAAGATATGCTGTTGAGGCTGGGGTTGTGGCTCAGCAGTAGAGCGTTTGCCTAGCACTTGCGAGGCCCTGGGTTCGACCCTCAGCACCACATAAGAATAAATAAGTGGAATAAAGGTATTGAGTCCAAGATGTGCTGTTGGAATACTTGTGCGAGTAAGCACGCTCACTGAGACCAGGCTCCAGCAAGGCACATGCAGACCTTTGTACACCACAGGACGCACGCTCCTGCCGACAGGGCTGCTGGCCGCTCGGGACTGCCTCACCCCTGCCCTGCATCCTGGCGGCAGAGGCGTGTGGGATGAGATCCCAAGCCCACTCCTAGGGTCCGTGAGAGCCACAGAAAGCTTGAGGGAACTGCCACAGGAGGAGAATGGGTGTCTAAGGAGACTCACAGGGACGCTGTCACACAGCAAGGTGACAAGTGGTGTCCAATAACCCACGTCCAGGGTCGCCTTCTCCAGGCCACAGGCCACACCCTGTCCCAGTGCTGGCAGCAAGGCCCACCTGCCCCAGCCAGGAGTGAATCTGCCACTTGGGGCAGCCTTGAGCACCCAGGGGCAGTGGCCACGTCCTGATGGTGGGAGCCCGGGGACCAGAGCCCACACAGCCGAGTGGCCCCGCGAGCCGCTGCCCCTTGCCCTGCTGCCTTCCCTCCCACCGTCCTGTGGCCCCTGATTCTCCCCTCTCCCCCCTTCTTTGCCCTGATGTCAGAAGCACCTTGATAACTGGGCGCCTTAAGTTCTAAGTTATGCGACTAAATCCTGATTCCAAGGGAATATCGCCTCTATGTGGTCTTGTGACGCTCTGAGGTGTCTGAAGTCACTAGGGTCCTGCTCCATCACACCTTTTGGATTATTTCAAGAGGAATTGATTCGCTGTGACTGTCCACAGGCCTGGTGGAGAACCGGAGCCCAGGGCAGGAGGGCTGCACACCAGGCTACTTGTCTGGCTTGGGCTCAGAAGAGAAGTCCAAACAAACCCTGGTCTGATGTTGTCAGGACCCCTGGGCAGCTGACCTGACTGGTGTCTCTACTCGGGGAGGGACCAGTGGCTTTCGCGTGCCAGCTTGCTGATGAACTGGCTGTCCTTGACCGTGCCTCAGCTCAGTCTCCCTGTTGTCTGTCTCTAGGGTGCCAAGGGCAACATGGGTGAGCCAGGAGAGCCCGGACAGAAGGGGCGACAGGTGAGTGACCCCAGCCCCGTGCCCCGGCCGTCCCCACCCCCACCCAGGACTGGTGGCGTCTCATGCTTACTGTTCTTTTTCTGCAGGGAGATCCAGGCATCGAGGGCCCCATTGGATTCCCAGGACCCAAGGCAGGTTCCCAGGGCCAGCCCAGGGCTGGGGCTGGCAGGGGCAGGGAGGGCCAGGGGACCGGGTGGTGTCTCGGGAAGACTGCTCCGTATCCTCTCCCATGTCTCTAGCCCAGCACCCCATGCCCCTGTTTCCAGGAAGTAGAAGCACCTCTGTAGTGGAGGTCACCCCAGAACCAAGCTCTGGCCTGGCTCCTCATCCAGCCTCCTCTGCTGAGTGTGGGTTCAGGGTCCACCCAGGTTTCCAGGTGCTGGACGCAGCCTGCCCCAACCGGCCCTTGGCTGCTAGGCTCCACCTGGCCTCTCACTGTCTCCCAACCCTGCCCCCCCTAACGCGGCACCCTCTCCTTCTGCCCTCAGGGTGTTCCAGGGTTCAAAGGCGAGAAGGTAAGAGCCGAGGCTGAGAGCCCCAGGCAGACCCCAGACCCACCTCTGTCTGCAGCCTGTGGGTCCCCTGGGGGCAGAAGGGCTGCAGGGGAGGGGCTCTTCTGGCCTCACGGAGCCCAAGGGCTCTGACCCGCACCTAGAGGCGATGGTTCTGTGAAGCTGGAGACTCACCCCTGACTTCCTCCTGCACAGGGTGAATTTGGAGCTGACGGTCGAAAGGTGAGCTGGGCAGGGCGGGCAGGTGCCCACCTCCGTGTGGCTCAGGTGGACAAGGACAGGGCTCACGGATCTCCTTTCCCTCCCTTTCCAGGGGGCTCCAGGCTTGGCCGGCAAGAATGGGACTGATGGCCAGAAGGTAAAGTGAGGGCCAGCTCACGGCTGCACTGGCTGATCACACGCACACACGGGCACTCGTGGGCACGCGGACACGGTGGGGGTCACCTCGCAGCTGTGCACCATGAGAAAGCTGTGGGGGGGCCTGGACAGCGTGGCCAGCGCACCTCCACCTGGACCCCAAGTCCCCTGACACTTGTGCTCCCCCCCTGCAGGGCAAGCTGGGCCGCATCGGACCTCCTGGCTGCAAGGGAGACCCTGGAACCCGGGTAGGCGGCTCCACGGCCCCGTCTGCCCGCCCCACGGACCTCAGCTCTGGGGAGCAGGGTGCCAGGCGCAGTCCTGCTTCTCCCTCCTACCCTCTCGCCCTGGCTGTCCCTGCCACAGGCCAGGGTTCAGCCAGGTCGGGGCCACCATGTGGCAACACCCTGAGCGTCCGGGCCAGCTCCGGGGAGGCTGGTGGGGTCCTGGGCCAGGCCAAGCGGTTCCACTGCCCCGAGGTCGTGCGTTGTGGATCTTGGTCCTGTCAGCCTGTCCCTGGCTGACTGACCAGTCAGGGCCTGGCCTCCTGGGCAGGGGGCTTACCCACCCAGAAGCCTCGCCGCAGGCTCTGAGGGTGGGACTCTGCTCCCAGTTTGTGGGCAGAACCAAACCTCCTCCGGGCAGCAGCCAGCAGGAGCCCCAGGACACACCTGCCCTTCTCTTTCAGGGCCCTGACGGGTACCCCGGGGAGGCTGGAAGCCCAGGCGAGCGGGGAGACCAAGGCGCCAAGGTAGGCTGCCCAGCCGTCTGTGGCCATGCAGCAGTGGGGCCACCCCGGGCCTCCCTGCCCCAGCCCAGCGTCCCTGGAGGATAGAGCTGTCTGGGGAAGACCCCAGCAGAGGGAGCCTGTCCCTGACCCTAACCCTAAGTCCTTCAGGAGTGAGGGCCACGGCACCCAGTTGCCCACCCTCCTACCCTGAGCACATTCCCCTGTCTCCCAGGAGGAGCAGCCTCCCGCCAGGGTCAGAGCCTGGCATTCAGGTTCCCCGAGCAGCCCGCCCCGTGGGGCATCCTGGGGGCTCAGGGACATGGGGGAGCTGCCTGCCCAGGGCCCTGAGCCTGGCCCCGGAGGCAGTGGCTGATCTCTGCAAACCCTTCCAGGGGGACTCCGGCCGCCCAGGACGCAGAGGGCCTCCAGGAGACCCTGGAGACAAAGGAAGCAAGGTGAGCCATGACCATGCTCTCCAACCCTGGCCAGGGCAGCCGGCCACACTGCCTGTGTCCTCACACATGTGAGGAGGGGCCAGAAGGACAAGTGTGCCCTGAGCACGCGCCAACCTCCTGTCCTCCACCGCCGGGCACCAGGGAGGGCTGGGGGGCTTCCTGGGTGCAGAGGGCCAGCCGCTCCAGGCTGCTGAACACCTCCTCCTCTCTGCAGGGTTACCAAGGCAACAATGGAGCCCCGGGGAGTCCTGGCGTGAAAGGAGCCAAGGGGGGGCCTGGGCCCCGCGGACCCAAAGGCGAGCCTGTGAGTCCCCAGCCTGCTAGCAGCCCTCCAGCCTGGGCACTCCACGGGCTCAGGAGGGGCCCCTGGAGATGGCCTGTGCCGCAGCCGCCCCCTACTCGCTGGCTCCACACACCTGCCCTCCCCGCAGCCTCCCCCAGGGCCGCACAGGGTGGACCCACCAGTCAGAGCAACTGGAGACCCAGCGCCTGGACTTACAGCCTGGCCAGGAGCCCCCACCCGCCCTCCTCCCTAAATCCTCTGCTGGGACAGGTTGACCCGCAACAGGACAAGGGGGTGGCACCTGTGGGTCTCCACTGTGCCCTCTGAAAGAAACCCCAGGCTCGGGGTCCCCAGACCTCCAAGCCAGAGTCCTCCTGGGAGAGCAGAGCTCAGGCCCAGTGGTTGGCAAATGTCCATCCTCCCGGGGCCTAGGAGGCACCCCTCCCCACCAACACACGTCTTCTTTCAGGGGCGCAGGGGAGACCCCGGAACCAAGGGCGGCCCCGGCAGTGACGGTCCCAAGGGAGAGAAGGTGAGTCGGCCATGTGCAAGAGCCAGAGGGCACTGGCCCTGTCTGCATGTGGGACCATACGCCCTGGGGGGAAGGACTGACCCATCCTCACCCACCAGAACAGAGCTGTTGAGGCCCCACCATCCAGGGCTAACCCCTGCAGGGCCTGGGAAACCAGGAGTGGGACAGGTGGGCTCACACTCTGCCCCATGGAGACTCAGCAGGGGCCCAGCAGGCACCACCATCCCCTGCTGCCATGCCTCGCGGCTCAGGCTGTGCACTGCTCAGTCCACAGTGTCCCTACTGTGGACACACCTGCCCCAGCAGCTGTCACAGCTCTCGAGGGCAAAACTGAAGTAGCCTGGTGGCAAAATCCACAAGTACCTGTTCCCTCTGAGATGTGGGTAGAGGGGCTTCCTCCCAGGCCAGGGGGTCTCCACTCACATTACCTGTGGCTTCAGTGCGACTGTGAGGCTGGTGGTTGGTGGGCTGCAGGATAAAGGATGCCCCTGTTCCAACATCACCCTGGACATTACTGGACACTTTCCTCCCAGGGGAATAAGTGACCCCTCCTCTGACCCCACCACACAGCCTCTCGGGGGGACCCAAACCTAAGTCCCCCACCAAGACCTGACTGGCCCCTGTTCCCACAGGGGGACCCTGGCCCAGAAGGGCCCCGGGGCCTGGCCGGAGAGGTCGGCAGCAAAGGAGCCAAGGTACGTGGGGTCCTGGGGCTGGGAGACCAAGTGCCTGGTCCCAACTGCCACCAAGTCCTGCCTGTGGAGGGGCTGCGTGTGGACCCAGCCTGCTGCCCCCACCTGCCTGTGGCCCAGCCTGCCCTGCAGGCCAAGCCAGGCCTCTGCAGGTCAGCAGGCCCCACCTCTGCAGGAGGACATCAGGGTCTCGAGCTCACCCTCTTGCTTTGCAGGGAGACCCAGGATTGCCTGGACCCAGAGGCCCCCAGGGGGCCCTTGGGGAGCCCGGAAAGCAGGTCAGTGGCAGGACACCTGCACCCCGAGGCTCCAGTGGCCAGCTCTGTCTCCAGCCTCCTGTCCACTCTCCCTGCTGTAAAATGCTTGGGTCCCCCTGGGGGTGGCACAGGCTGCCTGCCAGTCACTGTCCCCATGGCAGCCTTGGACACTGGGACTAGGAGCTGTCCCCTAGGGTACTTCTCACCACCCCAGCCTCGGTGTCCTCCTGTCCAGAAGGGACGGTCCCAACCCTCCCCTCAGGCAGGATGGTGAGCCTGGGGCCTGGACCACACGTGAAGAGGAGGAGCCGGCACCCTCAGACCTTCAGATGCTGGAGGGCAGCACAGGGAGCTGGGGACAGTGTGGTCTGTGGCCACAGATGGACTGTAGGGTCAGATGACCCCGGGTACAGGTCAGTGTCAGTCACAGAGGACTATGCCAACCCTCGATTTTTTCCCTCCCTCAGGGATCTCGGGGAGACCCTGGTGATGCTGGGCCCCGCGGAGACTCAGGACAGCCAGGCCCCAAGGTGCGGCCCCCGCCAGCAGGGTGGACAGGGGCTTGGAGTGGGTGCCCAACTGGAGAGGCTGGAGGGGGCTCGGAAGGCCTGAGTGAGGCTGACCGGGGGGGCTGAGGCTGACACTGTGGCATCAGCCTTGACCCCTGCAGGGGGTGGCCAGCCACTGGCTCCGCCTGGTCCAAGGTGTGTGCTTGGCAGGGGTTGGGCGAGCCCAGCCCAGCAGTGCCCCTCATCCACATCCCACGCCCCTGGGCCTGGCCCCGGGTCCATCCTCTGTTCCTTCCAACTGATCAGCCTCTTCCTGCAGGGAGACCCTGGCCGGCCTGGATTCAGCTACCCGGGACCCCGGGGAACTCCCGTGAGTGCTGGTGTGGGGCAGGGGCTGCAGGAGGGGCCGGGCTAGTTGAGAGGGCCCTGCAGGCTCCCAGTGTCCCCTAGAGGTGGCCTCTCTGGAGGAGCAGGGCAGGGGAGGTGGCGCGGGTCAGAGGACGGGGTCAGCGTCACAGGCTGGCCCTGCACTGGGAGCCAAGTGGCTCAGCAGAGTGGGCCTTTGCCCCAGGGCAGTGAGCCCCTTGTGGGGTCTGAGGCAGCCCCTGTGAGGGAGAGCCCCGCCTGGGGGGAGCATCCTGGGCCAGACCTTGGGTTCCAGCCGGGTGACCCTCTGACCTGGGTTTGCCTCACAGGGAGAAAAAGGCGAGCCCGGCCCCCGTGGCCCAGAGGTACGTGGCATCCCCGCCCATCTGGGCCTCTCTCCGTTCCCTGGGTGGAGCACAGTGGTCTGCGTCCACCACAGCTGGGGGACTGCACAGGTCCTCAGGCCTCGGTGGTCATGCCCCTGCCCAAGGCCAGGCCATGCAGGGCCCGCTTAGCTTTGAGTGGTGGTAGCTGCCACGTCTGCCCCTTCCCAACCGAAAGTCAGGGCCTGAAAACCCAGAGCTGCCATCCAGCGGGCCTGAACCGTGGACATGCTTTCGCCGGGAGGAGCACATCCGAGGTCCGGGGCCCCAATGCTCCTGAAGTCTGGGGTCAGGGAGCATGGAGACTGACCTCTCTGGGCATGTGTGCCCCGTCACAGGGAGGCCGAGGGGACTTCGGCATGAAAGGAGGACCTGGGAGGAAAGGAGAGAAGGGGGAGCCCGTGAGTACCTCGTCCTGCACCCCGGCTGCCGGCCAGAGTGGGCAGAGCATTGAGGCTGACCGTGTCCTCTGAGAGCCCTCAGGAGGACCCAGCTCACCTGGCACCAGAGCCCACCATCCCACCCTTGAAGAGGACCACCTGGCTCAGAGGCCTCTCCTCTCCTCCCCCTGCCCCCAGCCTTGCGCCCATGGTCACCCGAGCCTCTTCCTTAGCAGAGTGTCCTCAGTGTCTTCGTGTTCTTAGTGCTGGCCGGACTCCCAGCAGGGAATGTGGATGGGCAGAGAGGGATTGGACACAAGTCCCAGCACAGAAAATGGCGGACAGCAAACAGGGAGTGAGGGGGTGGGTGGGTAGACAGGTGAGCAGGTATGTGGGTGGGTGGAAGGACAGGTGAGCAGGTATGTGGATGGGTAGGTAGACAGGTGAGCAGGTAGGTGGGTGGGTAGACAGGTGAGCAGGTATGTGGGTGGGTGGAAGGACAGGTGAACAGGTATGTGGGTGGGAAGACAGGTGAGCAGGTGGGTGGGTGGGTAGGTAGACAGGTGAGCAGACATGTAGGTGGGTAGGTAGACAGGTGAGCAGGTATGTGGGTGGGAAGACAGGTGAGCAGGTATGTGGGTGGGTGGAAGGACAGGTGAGCAGGTATGTGGGTGGGTGGAAGGACAGGTGAGCAGGTATGTGGGTGGGAAGACAGGTGAGCAGGTAGGTGGGTGGAAGGACAGGTGAGCAGGTGGGTGGGTGGGTGGGAAGACAGGTGAGCAGGTAGGTGGGTGGGTAGGTAGACAGGTGAGCAGGTAGGTGGGTGGAAGCACAGGTGAGCAGGTATGTGGATGGGTAGGTAGACAGGTGAGCAGGTAGGTGGGTGGGTAGACAGGTGAGCAGGTATGTGGGTGGGTGGAAGGACAGGTGAACAGGTATTTGGATGGGAAGACAGGTGAGCAGGTATGTGGATGGGAAGACAGGTGAGCAGGTAGGTGGGTGGAAGGACAGTTGAGCAGGTGGGTGGGTGGGTGGGAAGACAGGTGAGCAGGTATGTGGGTGGGTGGAAGGACAGGTGAGCAGGTATGTGGGTGGGAAGACAGGTGAGCAGGTAGGTGGGTGGAAGGACAGGTGAGCAGGTGGGTGGGTGGGTGGGAAGACAGGTGAGCAGGTATGTGGGTGGGTGGAAGGACAGGTGAGCAGGTATGTGGGTGGGTGGAAGGACAGGTGAGCAGGTATGTGGGTGGGTGGAAGGACAGGTGAGCAGGTATGTAGGTGGGAAGACAGGTGAGCAGGTAAGTGGGTGGGTAGACAGGTGAGCAGGTGGGTGGGTGGGTGGAAGGACAGGTGAGCAGGTAGGTGGGTGGGTAGGAAGACAGGTGAGTAGGTATGTGGGTGGGAATACAGGTGAGCAGGTAGGTGGGTGGGTAGACAGGTGAGCAGGTAGGTGGGTGGGTGGAAGGACAGGTGAGCAGGTATGTAGGTGGGAAGACAGGTGAGCAGGTATGTGGGTGGGTGGAAGGACAGGTGAGCAGGTATGTGGGTGGGTAGGTAGACAGGTGAGCAGGTATGTGGGTGGGTAGGTAGACAGGTGAGCAGGTATGTGGGTGGGTAGGAAGACAGGTGAGCAGGTAGGTGGGTGGGTAGGAAGACAGGTGAGCAGGTGGGTGGGTGGGAAGACAGGTGAGCAGGTAGGTGGGTGGGTAGGAAGACAGGTGAGCAGGTGGGTGGGTGGGTAGGAAGACAGGTGAGCAGGTGGGTGGGTGGGAAGACAGGTGAGCAGGTAGGTAGGTGGGTGGGAAGACAGGTGAGCAGGTGGGTGGGTGGGAAGACAGGTGAGCAGGTAGGTAGGTGGGTGGGAAGACAGGTGAGCAGGTGGGTGGGTGGGTAGGAAGACAGGTGAGCAGGTGGGTGGGTGGACAGGTGGGTGAGTGAGTGAGTAGACAGATGGTGGGTGGAAAGGTGAGCAGGAGGATGATGGGTGGGTGGATGGTGGATGCGTGGATGAGTGGAAGCTTTGGGTTTGAGGATGAGGGTGAGTCAGGTCTTGGGGTGAGCAGAGCATGGGTAGCCTGAGCTGTCTCGGCTGCTGTCTTTCGAGCTCCTCTGTGGCCTGTGGGCCCCCGGCCCCTCTGGCAGGCCAGGCTCTGAGGCATTCCTCGGGTGTGGCCCAGCCGCCCGATTCCTGATGCCCACCCTACCCCAGGGGGGACTATGGGGTGGGGGGCAAGACTCCTTTGGGGTGTTTGCTGAGCCTGCCTGCCCTGTTCCTTCTCAGGCAGATCCTGGTCCCCCTGGTGAGCCAGGCCCCCGGGGGCCCAGAGGAGTCCCAGGACCTGAGGTAGGCCATCTCTGTCCCTTTACCCCTCGGTCCCCAGCCCCTGCACAAGCCGGGTCAGTGCCTACCTGGCTTGTGGCTCTGTCTGCCCCTGGTGTGTGCGGCCCTGTCTGCAAGGGGCAGTGGCATCAGGAGTCAGCACCCTGCCCAGCCCCGGGCCTCAGGTCTCACTTCACTGTCCCTCCTCCAGGGTGAGCCCGGCCCCCCCGGAGACCCAGGCCTCACGGTAGGTGTCACCTGGGGTGGTGGGATCCACATCCTCCCTCCCAAAAATGAGAGGGGCAGTGAGTGCAGGGGCGTGGGCTGGGTGCTGTGGGGGCAGGTGGATGCAGGCTCTCTCCCTGGGGAGGCTCCCGGGGCCTGGAGGGCCCGCCTGCCCTGGACACGGCCGTGCTCTGCTGCAGGAGTGTGATGTCATGACCTACGTGAGGGAGACCTGTGGCTGCTGTGGTGAGTCGGCATGGCCAAGGGGAGCCGGCGGGGTCCTGGGGTTTCTCACGGCACCCACTGCTGACCGTGCCATCCCCCAGACTGCGAGAAGCGCTGTGGGCCCCTGGACGTGGTCTTCGTCATCGACAGCTCAGAGAGCATCGGCTACACCAACTTCACCCTGGAGAAGAACTTTGTCATTAATGTGGTCAACAGGCTGGGGGCCATGGCCAAGGACCCCAAGTCAGAGACCGGTCAGTGAGGGCAGGGCAGAGGCCGGGCTGGACAGCTGGAAGTGGCGGGAGGCTCTCTTCCCAGGCTGGCCGGCCATAGAGGGGCCTGGGCAGGTCACTGGCCACACTCACACTTGCCCCCACAGGGACCCGCGTGGGCGTGGTGCAGTACAGCCACGAGGGCACTTTCGAGGCCATCCAGCTGGACGACGAGCGCATCAACTCCCTGTCCAGCTTCAAGGAGGCCGTCAAGAACCTGGAGTGGATTGCGGGCGGCACCTGGACACCGTCAGCCCTCAAGTTCGCCTACAACAAGCTCATCAAGGACAGCCGCCGCCACAAGACCCGCGTGTTCGCTGTGGTCATCACGGATGGGCGCCATGACCCGCGGGACGACGACCTGAACCTGCGGGCGCTATGCACGGGTGACGTCACCGTGACGGCCATCGGCATTGGTGACATGTTCCACGAGCGCCACGAGAGCGAGAACCTGTACTCCATTGCCTGTGACAAGCCGCAGCAGGTGCGCAACATGACCCTCTTCTCCGACCTGGTGGCCGAGCGCTTCATCGACGACATGGCGGACGTCCTCTGCCCTGGTGAGCTGCTGCCCAGCCCCTTCCAGCAGGTCCAGAGCAGCCTGGCTGTGGCTGACCCACACCTGTCTCTCCCTCTCTTGCAGACCCCCAGATCGTGTGCCCGGAGCTTCCCTGCCAAACAGGTGACGCAGGCGCCCCCCAACCCAGAGCAGCAGAGTGGTGCCTCCTCTCCCGCAGCAGGGTGGGCAGAGGGCTGGGCGGCCTGGGCAGGCTGCTGCAGAGGCACCGCCTGGGACCCCAGGCCCAGCCCAGCCAGGAGGGGGTGTGTTGGGGTGGCTCCAGGATGCAGGATGGCCTGGTGACACCCCAGGCCCTGCTGGCGTGGGTGCTGTTGGCCTGGCTCTGCAGTGGGTCAGCCTCTGGGGTCAGCAGTGTTTCAGGGTGGAGGGTCCCTGGCACCACCAGAGCATGGGCAGGCACAGCTCCTAGGAGACACATTTGCTGCCACCTCCAAGGCCACTGCTGCAGGGTGGTTGGGAGAGGAGGAAGAGGACAAGATGGGATGGGGTAGCCAGAGCGGCCAATGAAGAGGGAGGAGGAGGGAGAGAGGACAGGGTTGAGGTAGAAGGCTTGTCTCCTTGGGGGTCTGCCGTTGCCCAGGGCAAGGGGGCACGGAGAGGTGCTTCAGGCCCTCGGGTGAGCCCTATGCCCTCCAGGAGGGGGACCCCAGGCTACACTGGGACCTGGGGCCACCATGGAGATGGAGGGTCACCAGCAGCCATCTCTGTGGCCTCTGCCTCTGGAACTCAGTGCTCCTCGGCTGTCTGAGCTGAGGTGCCCACCCACCCAGGAAGGACAGGGAAATGAGTCGGGCCTCACACTTGCTGGGACAGAGGGCATGGCCAAGGACACACTGCCCAGGCCTTGCCCTTGGTGTGACTGTGGGGCTCGGCGCTACCCAGAGACCCCAGGGCTGGCAGGAGAGCATCAGTCCTGGTCTCTGCTGGGCGAGACCCCCAGCTAGACCCCAGCTCCAGCCCTGTCAGGTACGTGGGGGGCAGTGCCCTCAGTGGGCAGCTGGCGCCCAGACGGCCTGGGTGAGGTCCAGACCAGCGGGGTCTGCACAGAGGAGGCTGATGCCACACCCAGCCTGTGGGCAGCTGGACCCCTGGGCACAGGAGCCAAGCCTTGGCCTTGGCCGGGTCCCAGAGTTCTCACCTGGCCCCTGGTTGAGGCTGGGAGCTTTGGGTTCCCGCAGAGCAGGCGGGCAGTAGGTGTCCACAGGTCTTCCTGAAGCTCCTGGCCCACTGGGGTTTCAGGGAGGAGATACTGGACCTGCCGCCGGCTTGTCCTGCATCTGTCGAGTGGCTGTGGGCTTCCTCTGACCCTCAGCTCAGCCGGCCTGCTGCAGTCCGCTTGCTGCTATGGTAGATGCAGCTGTGCATGGCCTGCTGGTGTCGCATCCAGGGCCTGGCTGTGCTCAGGAGTGGCGTGGCCTCAGGGTGCAGGACATGGCTCTGGGAAGGTGACAGAGGACCTGGGGGAAATGAGGACCTCTGACACTCTTGCCCCCACTCCCCTGAAGCCTCAGGACCCTACGTGAATGGAGTGGCCCCTAGGAGATCCTCCCTCCTTCCGGGCCTCCTGATCCCTCTGCAGAGTTTACAAAGCTCCACCCCCCTCCTTTTTGGCCTTTGGAAACTCAAGTAAGTGAGTGTGGTGACCATGAGGAGCTCACCTGCCCTCAGATGTCCTGTGGGTCCTTGTGGGCACCTCCCATATGAACACCGCACCAGTGGACACCACCAGCTCAGGCCCAGCCCTGACCTTCTGGGTCAAACAGCCCAGCCACCCTGGGCCGATACTAGGCAGGGGCTGGTTGTGACTGTGTCAGGCTGCAGAGGCTGTCAGCAGGACAAGCCAGGCACAGGCTTAAGCCTCTGAGAACGAGGTGGCCTGGTAATGACCACAGTGGTGGAAACCGGCATAGCGACTTCTAGAGCTAGAGGGTGCAGGGCCAAGGACTGAGGGGGCTGTAACTGGCCGCCTGCATTTGCCCATGACTACAGTCTGACCCCAGGTCAGGAGCCAGTTAGACCAAGATGCCCACCAGAGTCAGGCCTCCCCTCCAGCAGGCATGGGGAGCCAGAGCAGGGGGGCAGAGAGGCAGACAGACAGAGTGGGATGGAGGGGAGAGAGACAGAGGCAGAGAGACAGGGGGTCCAGAGAGACAGGGACAGAGGGGGGATCCAGAGAGACAGGGACAGAGGGGGGATCCAGAGAGACAGGGACAGAGGGGGGATCCAGAGAGACAGGGACAGAGGGGGGATCCAGAGAGACAGGGACAGAGGGGGGATCCAGAGAGACAGGGACAGAGGGGGCATCCAGAGAGACAGGGACAGAGGGGGGATCCAGAGAGACAGGGACAGAGGGGGGATCCAGAGATAGAGAGACAGGGGGTCCAGAGAGACAGGGACAGAGGGGGGATCCAGAGAGACAGGGACAGAGGGGGCATCCAGAGAGACAGGGACAGAGGGGGCATCCAGAGAGACAGGGACAGAGGGGGGATCCAGAGAGACAGGGACAGAGGGGGGATCCAGAGAGACAGGGACAGAGGGGGGATCCAGAGAGACAGGGACAGAGGGGGGATCCAGAGAGACAGGGACAGAGGGGGCATCCAGAGAGATAGGGACAGAGGGGGGATCCAGAGAGACAGGGACAGAGGGGGCATCCAGAGAGACAGGGACAGAGGGGGGATCCAGAGAGACAGGGACAGAGGGGGGATCCAGAGAGACAGGGACAGAGGGGGGATCCAGAGAGACAGGGACAGAGGGGGGATCCAGAGAGACAGGGACAGAGGGGGGATCCAGAGAGACAGGGACAGAGGGGGGATCCAGAGAGACAGGGACAGAGGGGGGATCCAGAGAGACAGGGACAGGGGGATTCAGAGAGATGGGGCGGGGGGGGGAGTTAGCGGTGATGGGGAAGGAGAGAACAGAGACAGACACAGAGGGCGATCCAGAGACAGAAAGACAGGGGTGCAGAGATAAACAGGTTGAGGGAGAGAGATAGACAGGGGGATCCAGAGAGAGGTGGGGGGAGACAGGGAGGAACCAGAGAGGGATCCCGAGAGACAGGCAGGGAGGAGGGGACAGACAGAGGGACGGGGGGGGGGACACGAGAGACAGAGAAGGGATGGGAGCCAGAGAGACGGAGAAAGAGGGAAGGAGAGAGAGAGGATGGGGTTAGGTAGAAGGCTTGTCTCCTGGGGGTCCCTGGGTCCTGGAAGACAGTGTGGCTGGTGGACAGACCACAGCTCACATCTGAGAGGGCTGGACTGGTTAGGGCTGCAGGCCTCCCTGGGCACTTCAGGGAAGGTCTCCTGGGGAGCCGTGCGGTTCTGCTCACGTCCCAGCCCAGGCCTGGGGGCAGCCGCTGTGCTGATGGTCTCCTGGCAGGGCAGATGGCTGCCGCTGGCCTGCTGTCCCGCCGCCTCGGGGCCAAAGGCCACCACTCCCAACTGCACCTCCTGGCCACTCCTCTTCCTGGGCCTCGTCTCTGCTGCCGCTTTGGTCCTGACTCTGCTTTCTGCAGAGAGGCCCGAGGAGGGGCTGGAGGCCCACTCACACCCACCCCTGGCCCTTAAAGTGCTCTATGGACGCTCCCTTGCAGATGGAGCGCGGCCTGGCGGCGAGCCCCCGGTCACCTTCCTCCGCACGGAAGAGGGCCCAGACCCCACCTTCCCCAGGACCATCCCCCTGATCCAGCAGTTGCTAAACACCACTGAGGCCACACAGGACCCGGCCTCCTACTCCCAGCTGGTGGCCGTGATGGTCTACACCGCAGAGCGGGCCAAGTTCGCCACAGGGGTCGAGCGGCAGGACTGGATGCAGCTGTTCATTGACACCTTTAAGCTGGTGCACAGGGACATCACTGGGGACCCTGAGACGGCACTGGCGCTCTGCTGAGGCACAGGGCCACGTGTGCAGAGAGGCTGCAGCTGCCCCCACTCCTCTCCTTAGCTTCGGGGCCTGCCTTTCCCAAACCGAGGGCTTCAGAGGCACCGTGGCCCCACGGTCTGGAGGCAAGAATGGAGGCGTCTCCAGGGCCACATTCCCTCCAGAGGCTCCACCGGGGCCCTCCTGCTCTTCAGCTGGGTTCCGCCGACCGCGGCTCCTGGACCCTTCACTCCAGCCTCACCTGGCTTCCCATGGCCCTCCGCTGCCTGTGTCCTCTCCTTGCCTTCAAGGACAATGGCCGTTGAATTAAGGCCTACCCTAAATCCAGGTGGTGCCCACCTCACGCTCCTTAACCCAGTGCTGTCCTTCTTTGCCACATAAAGTGACCCTTACCTCTTGGGGGTGAGAACGGGTCCTCATTTGGGGGACCATTATTCAGCCCACTACACCGCCATTCCGCTGAGCTGCCCCAGGGTGTAGGTGAGAGAGGCGTGCGGTCAGCGCCCAGCGATGTCTTCTTCACTGGGTCCCAGTGTCTGGTCTACCCTGGTCTCAGATTTGGGCAGTGACCCTGAGTTTAGTGACGCTGGGTATTCTTGGCCCACAGGTGACCAGGACTCGGTGGCAGTGGCTCTTTGGGGAGCCGGGCAGTCCTGCAGCCCTGATACATTTGAGCCAGCCCTGAGGTCACACCACGTGTTTGACCTCCAGGCACCCCAGCTAACCTCTGGGTGCCTGAGACACTCCTGGTGCCTGTCCAACCTTGGCAAGGCATTGCTGCCCTCAGGCGCCTTGGCCGGACCTGTAGGGTACTCTGCTGATGTGACAGCCTTCCCTAGGGAGCACGGTGGAGCGTCGCTGCCCCCAGGCAGGCCTAGGCAGGGGCTCTGAGCAAGCCCCAGGAGCCCTCCTTCTGCCCTGGGCATCCCTCCTGCTGGGGGGGTGGTGGGCAGGACTGGGAGGTGCAGAGGCTGCCAAAGTCTCAAGACTGCTGACCGCTGTGCACCTCTGCCTGCCCCAGAGATGTTGCCCCAGAGAGAAGCCACTTGCTGCTTGTCTGTCTCTGTGTTTGTGGTGACGACTGTGAGGAAGTTTGTCAGTTTTGAGGGCTTTGACACTCCTGGCCACTCCCCGGGTCCTCCGATCGAGTGCCAGGGGTGGTCTGCACTAGAATAACGGCATCATTACTGAGCTCATGGAAAAGACCATGCCCGGTACTCAGTTGTGGCGCGGGGTGGGGGGCGGGCCACCTCAGAAACGAGACATAAAGCTGAGCCGTGTGAAGAGGACCTCTGAGGCCAGGTGGAACTGAGCTGGCGTCCGTGGGCAGAGCCGTGCACACCCGTGGGTGTGTGAGGTCCTGGGTCTTGAGCCTCTAGGGTCCTGGTGGACTCCCTGATGGCATCAAGGGGGGGACCAGCCAATCCATGGCCCCTTCCAAGGCGAGGAGCTTGGCACAGTCCCTGGTGCACAGACAGAGGGGTCCCAGCGCATGGGCTCGGACACCCTGGAGGTAGTCACCCATGCTGCCCTTGTGTCCAGAGCTGGTGGATGGTCACACAGGGGGCGTCTTGGCAGCAGTGTGTCTCCGAGAAGCCACACCTGAGCTCGCCGCAGCAAGCCCAAGAGACACGGGCTCCTGACCTTCTGGGAGACATGTGGCCTAGCCAGTTCCAGATTGCTCAGGGCGGGTGGGCAGCTCTGAGGTGGTCAGGGCCAGGGGTCCCACGGGATGGTGTCCATTTTCCGACCCAGAAGGGCCTAGAGGTGCTGGCCTTGGCAGTGCACAGTGGGAGGCCCCTCTGGCTCCAGGTTTGGGAGTGTTCCTGGCAGAAGGACATGCTTCTCCCTGACAGAGCCTGGGCCAAGGACCCACACCTGGCTGACCTGCTGGGACCCCAGTAATGGCCAGGGTGAGGCCCCAAGGCCCACAGTTCAGGGCACTCTGGACAGAAAGCACAGAGGGAATGTCCCGCCCGCCCCCACGGCCGGCCCCATCTCCTGTCTCCCCCACAGAGCTGTACGTGGCACAGTGTACGCAGCGGCCAGTGGACATCGTCTTCCTGCTGGACGGCTCTGAGCGGCTGGGAGAGCAGAACTTCCACAAGGCACGCGGCTTCGTGGAAGAGGTGTCCCGGCGCCTGACGCTAGCCCGGAGGGAGGACGACCCCCTCAATGCCCGTGTGGCCTTGGTGCAGTACGGCGGCCAGCAGGAGCAGCAGGTGGCCTTCCCGCTGACCTCCAACCTGACGGTCATCCACGAGGCTCTGCAGGACCTCCGCTACCTCAACTCCTTCTCCCACGTGGGCACAGGCATCGTGCACGCCATCAACACTGTGGTGCGGGGCGCGCAGGGCGGGGCACGGCGCCACGCGGAGCTGTCCTTCGTGTTCCTCACCGACGGCGTCACCGGCAATGCCAGCCTGGAGGAGTCCGTGCACTCCATGCGCAAGCAGAACGTGGTGCCCACCGTGGTGGCCGTGGGCAGCGATGTGGACATGGATGTGCTGCACAAGATCAGCCTGGGCGACAGGGCGGCCATCTTCCGGGAGAAGGACTTTGACAGCCTGGTGCAGCCTGGCTTCTTCGACAGGTTCATCCGCTGGATCTGTTAGCACTGCCAGCGCCAGCCCACGTGTCCTCTCGGCCACGGTGCTACTCAGACCGCAGTCCCCAGGGGAGCTGGACTGCTTGCTGGAGGCCTCTCCCACCGGCCAGAGCCCCTTCTCCCAAGGAGGTCAGGATGGGAGGACCTCTGGCCCCAGGCCCTTGCCCACTTGCAGCTCCCAGGCCCCTCCTGTCTATCTGTCCTGCGCACACCTTGCCCTCAAGGCCTCCGCCAGCCCAGAGGCTCCCTCTAGTCCAATGACTGCCTCTCAGTCTCCCTGCCTCCCCTCCCCTTCTAAGAGCTTTCTTCCAGCCCTGCCAGGGCCTGGTCACCACCTGCCCACAACCCCTGAGCTCATGAGCTCACCCGAGAGTCCCTGTCCATGAACCCATGTCCAATAAAGGCTTTGGACTCCCTGCTGCTGCCATCCCCCAGTGTCTGTGCCTGCTGGCCCCACCCAGGTATGTGCTACACCTTCGGGGCTTCTTCCAGGCCCTGAGACTACACTGTGCACACACCCAACAGGCACCGTGTCCAGGGACTGCCACAGGCACTGGCCACATGTTCCATTCCCAAGCCACCAGCCTCAGCGAGACTGCGCCCTGCCACTTGGCACTAGGTTGACCTCTCCCGGCTCCAAGCCAGGACAGGGGGCTCCAGACACCCACGGTTTGAGGAGGGCAAGCTATGGGTGGACAAGAGGCGGTGGGCAGCAGGTGATGGCCAGACAGACGTGCAGTTTGGGTGATTTGGGATATTTCAGACTCCAGGTCTCTCATTCAGCCCCCGGGAGGTTCCATAGGGAACCATCAGTTTGCACAAGAGACGACCACATCCCACCCCTAAGCATCACATCCAAATCCACTCACGGGCAGCCCAAGCCGTCACCGGCCAGCACCACTCCACACCCCCCACCAAGCACCCGGCCAGCATACCCCTGGCAGCAGTGCGCTTGCCAGCAGCACGATGCTCATCACCAGTGGACCCCAGCAAGGCAGCTCCTGGGTCTCCCTCCAAGTCACACCTCCCTACCAGACCCACCGTCACCTTCCTGCGCAGCACCCCTCCTACGTCCCTGAGAACACCACATCCCAGCCAGGCCCCTCCTCCAGGGACATGCCAGTGGCCATCCCAGTGCCTTCTGGCCACACCAGGCCCCTCACCAACAGCCTATCAACCTGCCCAGCTAAGCTCCACTGACCTCTGTAGCTGGCCCAGACCCCTGACCCTGGTCCCCACCACAGCTTCCTCATCACCTCCCCCAGCATCCCCCACCCTCCCACCTGACTCACCTCCCCCACAGATGTCCCCAGCCAACCTCCCTCACTGACTGCCCCACTGACCTCCCCATCAGCCTCCCCCACGGCCACCCTCGCCAGCTTCTCTGCACCAGCAAGCTCTCAACACCCACACCTGCTCACCACAGTCACAGCTCCCTCGCTGCCAGGTCTCCCTTGTCCCCAGACCTCTGCGGGGTGGCTGGGTAGCACGTGGCCTGGACATGCACAGCCCTGGGCCAAGCTCTCCATGCTGGAAGATCCCCACTCCCGGGGGCCCAGCTTCCTGGCACCTCTGCCGTCACCTCTCCCTCCACAGTGGGGGCAGCCCGGGCCTCACCCTGTGGGGCCACCGCTTCTGCTGCCTGTGCAGCCAGCCCTCCCGTGCTCCTGCACCATGATGGAGGGACGGCTGCTCACCCAGCCGGGGCTCTCCTGCAGCCCAGGCCCTGCTCAGACTTCAGGTCAGAGCCTGAGAAGTAGCAAAGCTGTAGGGACAGAGAGGACACCAAGGAATTATCAGGAAGCAGACTTATTTGGCTGCACCCCGAGTTCAGGAAGTTCCAGAACTTCACACGCAGTGCACAGGGGGAGGGTCAGAGGTCCCCGGTCCACAGAAGTCCACATGCAACAGGATCCTTCCCTCTTTTCGGTTCCCAGCTCAGGCCGAGTCTTACAGAGACAACCCCAGGGATGCTCTCTCTCCTTTCTCTGTGGATGTCAGTGCCTGGGAAAGAGAGCGCTTTTGTTTTGTTTTTTCTCTCGCCAGGTGCCCTTCAAGGACTCCACTCTGAAATGCAAGTCCCTCTGTGGACCTCAGGTCAGTGTTTCTCATCCCGCTGTGTCTCCACAGGTGGTGGGGGTCTCTAGAGAAGCTTAACTCGGATTTTCTGTGGAGGAGGGGCTGCCACTACAGCAAAAGCAGCTTGGTGGGAAGGCCACCCCAGCCTCTGCTGGGTCTGCCCTCCGAGGCCAGTCCTGAGCCCAGTCCCTGAGCCCCTCCTGTGCAGCCCCTGAAGAAGCCTCAGAGGGACAGGTCAGGGGAGCCAGGACAGGCAGGCACTCCTTCTCTGCCTGCCGTCAGCACCAGACCTCAGGGGAATGGGGGCTTGAGTTAATGGATCCTCATCTGGCATCCCAGAGCCCCCAAGGCCCCAAATGTCCCCTCCTCATGGGACCCACGTTTGAGCCTGGAGCTCCCACCTAGCGGTGATGAAGGGCCCTTGGGCTGTGGTGAGGTTCTTGCAGCCCCTGCACCCCCAGCCACAAACAGCCCCTGCAAATTCCAAACCAGTGACAGGCATTCCCGTGTGCAGGGCAGTAGTCTTCCCAGCCCCCAGCGCTGGACATAGGCCCTTCCCTGGGGCAGGCGCAACATCTGCCTTCCTGAACCTGGGGCCAAGTCAGCATGGCCACGTGTTTCCCAGGCACTTTCCCCAGGGAGCCCACGGCTGGAAGGAGCCAGCAACCCACAAAGCCACCTCCCTCCTCTCACAGGAGGCCCTGCAGCCTGGCCCTGCAGCTCCTGCCCGGATCTCCCAGCACCCAAGTGCCAGAGGCACCCTGTCCCTGAAGGTCCTGTCCCCCACAGTCACTCAGACAAGGAACAGGTGGAGAAAGCCACAGTGGAGCACCCCGTGGGGTCTGGTGGATCCAAAAAGGCAGCTCACGTGCCCCGCTGCCCAGCATGCCAGGCCCTCCTGACCCAGGAATAGGAGGGGAAGGTGGCCCTGACGAGGCAGGACCTTCCATGTGGGGAGGCAGGCCCCTCCACATTCCATGCACCCCCCATGTACAGGCTCCACTTCTGCCCTGGCCCCACTTCCTGGCAGCAGCAGACAGACCCATGGTCACTGTGCTCAGCCTACAGCTGTTCAGGGATGTGGCCTGAGAGAGACCAGAGGCCAAAGGCTAGAAACTGAGACCAGGACCTGCAGCCACGGTGCCCAGAGAGTGCACCCAAGAGTGGAAACCCCTGGGTCTCTGTGGGGGCAGCAGGAGCCCTGGGGACAGTAGGAGTTATGACCCTGGTTACTGACCCTACAAGGCCCTCTGTGAGCATCTGGGCTGGCCAGTCCCCTCCTGCCTAGACAGGGCACAGAGGGCCCTGGGGCAGCCGGCGTGAAGGCCTAGGTGTGCCCACTGAGGTCTAGGGTCAGGTTCCCATGCCCTTTCTTGGCTGAGGCTTGCTCGGTGCCCTGTCCCTTGGCCATGGGGTAACCCTAATTTGAGACTTCAGCCTGGCCCTGGCCTAGCCCATTGTGCTGGGGCACCCCACCCTAAGATCCTGTGGGGTAGAAGCCTAGGGGGTATGTGCCTCTCTAATGATGGCACACACCCTCAGGAGTCTTCAAGGGCTGACCACTGGACATTGCCAGCAACAGGCCTGACCCGGCAACCTGCCTGGCAGCCCCCACATCACGAGGGTCAAGCCCCATGGCACCCACTCTCCCCAGGTAGAGGAGACGAAGGACAGGTGTGGTGCCTTGTGGTCTCCACTCCACTCGGCCCTCGTGGGCACCACGTCCCCCAGAGCGGCCCACATGCCAGAGGGAAGCAGATCCACTCCCGAGACAGAAAAAATACCGAGCCTCAAAAGAGAAGCGAGCGAGGGGTGCAGGAAGGCAGGGGCCAGAACTGTGGCAAGACAGAAAAGACCTCAGAGGGAGGATGGGAGGGAGCTGCCCTGGCCCACACTGGTCCAGCCCTGGCCGCCTGCCCCCTGGGGACACTGGCCCCTGGGCCAGGGCCTCGCTGCTGCTTCCCCAAGAGAATCTTGCTGTCTCTGACTCCCTGAATCCTGCTGTCTCTGACTCCCTGAATCCTGCTGTCTCTGACTCCCTGAATCCACCATGCTGTTGAGAACCCCACTTGACCTCCTGAGGTCCTCCTGTGGTGACAGGTTCAGGCCACGGGGGTCTGCAGCTGAGCAGGAGTTTGGGGGTGGGGGGTGTGGGGGGACGGACGGGAGCCCTCAACCCAGCTGGACAGCATGTCAAGACCTAGAGGACCCGACGGACACCGTACCTTCCCCTCCTGCAGGGGCAAGGGAAGGGCTGGGCCCACATTCCCCTCGGACACTGCACCTTCCCCTCCAACCTCCTGCCTCACTGTCATGGGCAGGGGCAGGCTGCCCTCCCCGGCACCTTATCCCTGTGTCCCTGTTGGTTCATGAGGCAATGGACGTCTTTTCCCTTCTCATGTCCCAGGGTGCTGGTGACTTCCTGAGAAGGAGGGTCTAGATTTCATAGTGAAGTCCTCCCTCGAGGCAGGTGGCTCCCTGCCCAGCTTAGGAAGGCTGCACCCAGCCAGACCAACGACGGGGACTGTCACGCTCTGTGCTCAGGCAGACTTGCGCATCTGAAGTCACCTGTCAGGGCTCAGCAGACAGCTGAGGGAGGAGCCCCGGGCTGGTCCCTGGGGCCCCACCATCCAGTGCATGTAGGTCCTCGGGGCCACTTGCTGTCCAATGCAAGGGTCCTGTCCCTGAAGGTCCTGCCACATTGCCCCAGGCACCTGCACTGGCCTGAGCCTCCTGGGACTGGGCATAGCCTCCCAGTCTAGGGACTGTCACCTCAGACTCGCTGACCATGGGACCCTTCCCCTTCCCCAAACCCAAACACATCACATAGGTTTGGAGTTCAGGCTTTATTGAGGCCACAGGTGACCAAGAGTGACAGTCTGTTGGTTCACAAGAGACCAGGACAGGCCTGCGCACACCCTTGCCCTGCTGCTCGCCTCTGCCCATGTTTCCTGACCCCACATGGATGAGCCGTGTGGAACTCTGTCCCCAGGAAGGTGAGGGCTGCTGAAGGCCGTGCTGTCCAGGGAGGTCTCCTGCCGTCTCGTGCCCACCAGCGGTCACTCCTGCCGAGCCTCCAGGCTCTCCAGCACCAGCGCAGCCTGGGCCTTGGCTTCCTGCAGGAGGCTGGCAACGCGCCGGCGGACCTGACGGACACAGGCCTGGAACTTACCACCTCCTGCCAGGCAGCCTCTGTTCTGTCCCCACGGCCTGGCCCCCACTGCCACCTTTCCTGCCCTTTCCCTGGCCTGCCACCCTAGGGTGACCGGGGCCATCTGGGCAGCTCCTCCAGGGTCTCAGAGTGGGTGGGAGCCTTGGGGACCACCAGGCCTGCTGACCTTCTGCAGACTCCCACCCTATTCTCCTCACTTCTTCCCATGGCTTCCTAGGTCACAGCTGTGTCCTCGACACCTGTGGGATAGTGCTCATGTGGCTGACCCTAGACATGCCATGCCGGTGCAGGGTACACCTGAAATACCTCTCTGAGGTTCACAAGAACTGCATCTGCTCAGGGGTGGGGCCTCCTCCGAGGATGAGAACATTCTAGAACTTGTGAGGGGTGTGGCTGCACAACACCACCAATGTGCTAAAGGCCAGATTCTGCACTTTAAAATGGTGAACTGTGTTCCATGAATCGTATCTCAATTATAGTAATAAACTTGTCCTGCCGCTGCCTCGCAGGTGAAGTCCAGGCCAGCTCCAGGGGGCCACGGCTTTTCCCGTCATTTTGCTGCTATGGGGGTCCCCAGCCTGGGAGGCCTGCTGAGAGCAGGCGTGGGTGGTATGGGGGGTGTGGGTGGTATGGGAGGGCATGCCAGTGTCGGGGCTCCTACCCAGCAGCTCCCAGAACTGGCCCCTGGGGAACATTAAAGGGGTGCCAGCTGGCACTGGCCACCCTGTCACCAACCCCCCCCCAGGAGGGGACAGTGCCATCCCCTGAAGCCTCGTTCACCTGCAGCGGCAAGCAGGAACCACCACCTTTGCCCAGGAGTGGCAACCTGGGGCCAGGCCTGGCAGCAAGCCCACCCTTGGCTCACCTGGTCCTTAAACACTTCGTCCTTCACGTCCTTCAGGTTGATGAGCACGTTAAAGTACGCACCAAACACACCCATCTCCAAGGCTTTGGCTGCCACCTGCAGGGCCAGGGAGCGGGGCTGGCTTCAGAGGCCTGGGCAGCCCCTGGAACCTCCCCTCATCCAAGAGGAGCAAACTGCTCCTCCCCAAGTCCGCCTCCCAGGGTCTCCTTGGAGGGTCAGGCTCAGGTCACCTCATACCCCCACCCACAGACAGCAGGCTGCAGAGGTGACCGCCTCAGCCCTGTTTCTGACCTGACAGAGCAGGAGGGAGGCCATGCTCCCCACCTCAGCAGCCGTCTGCCTCAGGCCCAGCCAGCTCCCAGAGGCTGAGGCCCGTATCTGGAGCCACAGGACCAGACTCTGAAACAGGTCTCTTTCTTGTGGACACCCTGCAAACCCTGGTGTCCAGGCAGCTGTGGGAGGCACAGAGCCCTGGGCCTGACTGTCCTGACAAGTTCCTGACAGGCTAAGCTGCCTTGGGAGTTCCTAGAGGGAGGTGGGGACAGGGGTGCCCCGTGACCACGGCCTGACTTCAGCATGACCTTGAATGAGGTCGCAGAACCCATCGTCCAGCTGGAAGAGAAGCCAAGACCAACATGAGGTCCCTGAGGTCCCTGGGCCTCTACCTGAAGGTCGGACTGGCAGGCCAGGTTCCCACACAGGGCCAGCTCTCGCAGCGCTGGCCACAGCGGTGACACTGTTTCTGCCAGCGCCAGCGGCACAGCGACTGCACCTCTCAGCCCCTCTTGCAGGGCAGCCGTGCGCCTGGAACAGAGGGAACTCTGGTCTGAACCAGGTGAAGGGACCCCCTCTGACCCCACCACCCAGGCGCCCACCAGGGCTGGACACACAGCCCCCAAACGGGACCACTGTGCCCTGGATGGGACTGCGCCATCCCCAGACTCCAAGGCCGAGGCCTGGCCACTGCTCACCTGTCCCTCTCCTCAGGAGTGTTCTTGGGCAGCTTCATGGCCTCCTACCAGGAAAGAAGACCAAATAACCACATGGCAAGTGACCACAGGGGCAGCTGTGTCCTCAGACCATGCTGGAGTCACAGTGAGCCAGGCCCCTGTCCTGGGGCAGCATGCCAAAGTGCCCCGACTACATCAGTCTCCCACCCGGGGCTGCTGGGCTGCTGGGCCACTGGACTGGGGCAGAGAAATGTTCTTAGAGAACTGCATCTGTTGGGGTCTGTGGTCTACCATCCTAGACAGTGGCTCTTTAGGGGGGTGTGGGGAGGACAGGCAAGCAGCACTCCTGGGCGCACTTGTTTTTAGAGAAGGACACCAAGGACTCAGGAGGTCCTCTGATTCCTGTTCAGACTCCCCCACAACATGGGGCTCCACACAGGCAGACGCTCTGCACCAATCTAGACACAAGAACCTCAGGCCAGGCAGAAAGATGAGCACAGAGGTACTCCTACCCAGCACCATCCCACGTCACCACCTGGCCACAGGCCTGGGCTTTATCCTGAGTGCTTGTACGTGTGGTTTGTGACTTCACACGCAGGGCCACGACTGTTCCCCTCTGGGACCCCACCCTGGCCTGGTGAGCCCAGGCTCAGCCCACTGCAGGGCGGTCCCGGGAGGCAGCTGTGGGGAGTGCCGGGCTGGTGCCGGTAGCTCCAGTCCTACCTCCACCCCAGCAGCCGTTACCGCTGAGCCCTTCCACCAGCCCTGGCAAGCAAAGGCAGAGCAAGCCGCTCCGCACGTCTGAGCCCAGGGCACCTGCCTCTCTGAGCCCCTTGCCTGTGGACCCCAGCCCTTCTGCACTAAGGCAGAGCCCGACCAGCCACAGGCACTCACAGCCTCGCTGGAGCCTGTGGGCTCGGCCAGCTCAGGTGGCCACGCAGCCACACCCTGCCCCAGGCCCCGGCGCTTCTGCTTCCTGGCTCACTCTGAGGTGGGTTTGCATGAGGGGTCCACAGCTAGCATCTTATGACTCCATGAGATGTTCCTTTTTTTATTTTTAATCTACCTCCTTGCTGTTCACAGAGAACAGGATCAGCTCAACTCTGCTCGGGTATAATCGGTATAATCCTGGCCCGGTGGCTCGTGGGCATAGCACATGTGCCTTCATGCTGATTTTAGTTTTCCTTTTCGTTGGATTAAATTTGCATTTATGGGCTTTCCCCTCTAGTTGTTTACTAATTATCCATCTTATTTTTACTTCTGATTTCTAAATTTAGGGTTGTCCCTAAATTTCTAAAACTTACATTTAAACTGATATTTCTCTTTAAATATATCTCTTTCTCTCTGCCCCCTCATCTCTCGCTCTCTCTCCCTGTCTCTTTCTGTCTGCCTCTCTCTCTTTCTGTCTCTGTCGCTCTTTTTTATCTCTGTCTCTGTGTTTGTCGGTCTCTGTCTGGGCCACTGTCTCTCTCTCATTCCCACTGTCTTGTGTACTACCTGCCCTCTGCCATCTGACCTATTTTGAAAACTCCGATCTCATTTCACAAAGGCTTCGTCTTTTATTTCAGGCCCGAGTGCGCTCTGGAATCTCTCGGAGGCTGTTGCCAGTCTTCTTTTTCCTATGGACCTGCTATGCTGGACTGAACCCAGGTGTGCTGAGTCACGGCCCCAGCCCCTCCCAGCTCTCGCTAAGTTGCTCTGGGCCTTGCTAAGTTGCTGAAGTTGGCTTTGGACTTGCAATCCTCCTGCCTCTGCCTCCTGAGTTGGGATTATAGGTGTTGACCACCACATCCAGCTGGGATGTGGCTCTTCGTAAGGGGCCTCTCCCTCCAGATCTGGGCCTGGGGTCTGGGTCCCTCCAGCCCCAGCATCACAGGCCCTGCCTTGCCAGTGCCCACTGCTCCTGCTGGCCTGTGGCCTGCCACAGATCACCCGCCCCCCAGCCCTCAGGCGGGCCCTCAGACTGAGGAGAAGCTGGCTGCTGGTCCCACAGCACGGAGGACACCGGTCTTCTTGTTGCTCTGGTCTTTGGCCTCCTGTGCTGGGAGCAGCCCTCACCCCCAGCTGCCCACCAGGCAGTCTGCAGGTCCCTGAGCTGGACCAGCAAAGGCCAGGGGTTGGGCTAGGCCCTGCAGGGTCCCCACCCTCACCAGGTAGGTGGCAAAGGCCTGGGCATCCGTGTCCACCAGTGAAGTCAGCTGGGCCAGGGCTGCATGGAAAGGCGGGATCAGGCGCCGCATCACTGCATCCAGGTGCTCAAACTGGCGCCGACCGTAGGTCATCTGGCCCACCATGGAGGCCAGTGCTGCACCCTGGTGAGGACTGAACTGTGATGGAGCTCACAAACCAAATAGCCCCAGACCAGAGCAGAGGGACCCCGTCCTTCAGGGGACCATGGGGTGGTGGGTCAGCCCCAGGCCAGAGCAGAGGGACCCCATCCTCCTGCAGGGGACCATGGGGTGGTGGGTCAGCCCCAGGCCAGAGCAGAGGAACCCTGTCCTCCTGCAGGGGACCATGGGGTGGTGGGTCAGCCCCAGGCCAGAGCAGAGGGACCCTGTCCTCCTTCAGGGGACCATGGGGTGGTGGGTCAGCCCCAGGCCAGAGCAGAGGGACCCTGTCCTCCTGCAGGGGACTGGCATGGTAGGGACACACTCTGGAGTCCTGGGCGGTGCAGTCCCTCTCTTGGGGGCCATGCTCTTTAGGGTCCCTCACTTCAGATTTCACTGGTCGCCTCCTCTGTTGGTGCTCACCATGGCTGCAGAGGCCGCTGCCACCGAGCCGCCCCCAGGGGTGGCTGAGCGGGCGCCCACCTCGCAGAGGAAAGCGCGCAGGGACATGTCCAACAGGCTCTTCTCCAGCCGGTCCGGGACCAGATACCTGCAGGGTGGACAGCTCAGTGACCGGGCCAGTTCAGGTCTCAGCTCACTCCCACCAGGCTCTCCCCAGCGGCAGAGCAGCCACAGGTGAAGGACAGGGCAGAAGCCTTGGCAGGGTCTCCCTGTCCCCCAGCCCCAGCCCCAGCATGCACCAGGTCTGGAGGGGAGTGGAGGGCATGGGCGGGGAGGCTGTTGGAGGTATGGGCAGAACAGGGAAGGGTGGGCAGGCAGGGGGCCAGTAGGTTCAGGGCCAGCACTCACTCAATGACCCTCTCTGAGGGGTTGAAGGGTGCCAGGGAGTCCAGGCCCAGCCGGCTCGCCACCTGGAGAGGGGGCACGTGACCTTAGCCATCACCCTCAGGTCAGGTTGCTCAGGGGCCTGAGGAGGCTCCAGCTCTGGGCAGGCCTGGGACAGCACCCTACTCTGCAGCCCAGGGGAACTGAAGCCAGAGGAAGGGGTCACGCCTGACCACCATGTCCCACAGAGCCACCCACGGGCCCCGAGGGGCCAGCTACAAGCACTCCTCACAACAAGGCTCCATTCTTGCTACCTGCCTAACGAGGTCTTAAGGTCTGGGACAGGCCCAAGTCCCCTGACCACAGAAGGTGACTGAAAGCGAGTGTCACCTAAATGCACAATAGAATCATAACAATCCTGCCTAAGACTGGAACTCTCACCAGAAGCCATCAGACACTCATGGAGCACTCGGCCAGCCACCATCCCAGCTGTTTGGACAAGCAGAGGGGTCCTGGGGAGGGAGGGGGCACTGGAGGGACACAGCCGGGCCTGAGGCTGGTTCCAGTGTGAACAGAGCCTCCCAAGCCGGAGTCCAGGAGTAGGCTCCTGGCAGGAGACCTCGGGAATTTGGGGTCTCAAAGCCAGGCCAGGGTTCCCAGCCAGCACGTGGCCTCAGCTCACGTGGCCTCAGGTGACGTGGCTCCAGCACTCTGCCGTGGCCCTGGGCGGTCCTGTCCCCGGGCCCCAACTATGGCAAACACCAACCCTCTGGGGGGCTTTACCCCCAGGGCCCAGGAGTCTCCAAAGAACCTTCCAATTCCACAGAACCTCCACTCTCGGGCAGACGCAGGACGCACAGGAAGACGTGAACACTGTCAGAGGGCGGAGAGAACCCTGCACAAGGCCAGACCTGTGGGGGACCAGACCCCTCGAGCCTCGGGGCCCCTAGCTGGCCTTCTGTTACCTGCCCTCCATCATGCCCTCCTGTCGTCCTGCATCGCCTTGCTGCAGCCACAGCAGGGGTGGCCATCCTGGAGGGAGGCCTTCTAACCTGTGAGCCACAGAACCTTTCCTTCTCTTCGTTATTCTTGTCGGGTCTTGTGGTCCCAGTGATGAGAAAGCTCACTAAAGCACACAGCATGTACCTGATCTTAAAGTGCCTCCCACAGGGACAGCTAGGAAGAGGGACACCACCTGGACCTCACAGCTGAAGCTGGCACCAGGCCCAGTGGACGGGCCTCCCACTGCTCCTGGAGCCTCTCCTACCAGACGGGTGGCCACCCTGTGACAAGCAGCCTCAGACCAGGCCAGGAGAGACTCCCACAACACAACTCGCCCTGTTTGTAGAGCGTGTCCAGGCCAGTGAAGGCCCAGGAGGACCAGAACTGGCCGGGCAGAAGGCAGGAGAGGCTTAGGAAGCAGAGGTGCCATCTGAAGTGACCCCAGGCTGGGAGGCCAGCCACCAGGGTGGGATGGCACCAACACGATGGTCTACAGATGGAATCCTGGGGCCACGGCAAGAACTCTCCGGAAAGCCCCGCCACCTGCTCACTGCAAGGAGCACGCCTCAGCAAAGGGCTCCGAGAGGCCTCTTGTGAAAGCTGGGTCAGGGTGGACGCTCTGTGCACATGGCTCCACCCAGGGCCAGGCCTGGACCTGGACTGTGATATGAGCACCCCAGAATATCGTAGGGTGGTCGACTGTGGATCGTCTTAATCAGCGTGTGTTAGATAAAGACTGTAAGCATCATGTCCATGATGTGACGGAGACTGCAGAACTTAGACAGACTTAAGAGAGTGATGTCAGAGTCTATCCCCAGGCGCACACCCCAGAGTTCACCCAGTTGTCGGCTGCAAGCACAACTGAACTAGGACTCAGAACCCCAGCCTTCTGGAGCCCAGTGGGACTAACAGGATCCAGACAGAGACCAAGACCTCCGTTGCTATTGTCCCCTCTGCACCAGACTCCTCCAGTCACAGGGGAGTGCCTGGGACCCTTGGGTGTAAACTCAGCTGGGACTCAGAATCAGATGTATATCCGAAGTGTGATGAGCATTAATGAAACAGGGTGTAGAAACCGCTCCTGACAGACCACAGTGCTCCCCCTGGAGGAAGGCCCAGGAATGGGCAGTTTGGCCCTCCCCCAGAGCCACAGCAGAGAACACGGGCAGGTCAGGAGCCTCCACTGCATCGGCAGAACAGCAGGGAGCACGAAGTCCTGCCCTCTGAGCGCAAGCTGGGGGTGAAGGGGTGGAGGGGGACTGCAGGGGCTCCTCCAGGGGCCCGCTGGGTGGGAGCCCCAGCATCAGCTCCATGCCGTCCCTGGTGGCCCGTCCCCACCCCAGCAGGAGACTCACCAGCCTGATCCGTTGCTCCTCCTCCAGGACAAACAGGTTCTCCTTGTCACAGTAGAAGGCAGCCGCGTCCAGCAGAGCCTTCAGAGGCACCAGGCCCACCAGCTGGGAGCCCACCACCGGGAGGTTCAGCTCCTGCTGGCCGACACAGGCCGTGTCAGCACCTCGGCCTGGACCAAGGGTGTCTGGGAGCAGCGCCCCCCAGGACACAGCCCCAGGCAGCCCACCTGGGCTTCTCTGCAGGTCTCCTCGAAGACTGTGTGCAGCCCCGTCTCCTCAAAGTCCAGGAGGTTTGTGGACACCTGGGCCAGATTCCTCTCCTCCAGGTACCAGCCAATGCCTTGCACCTTCCTCAGACACCCTGGCTGCAAAGGAACCACGTCTCCCAGCCTGCGAGGGAAGCTCCCTCCCAGGTCCCTGCCCCGCTCCCCTGCACGGCTGGCCACTTAGCACCAGGGCTCTCCTCACCCCCGCCCTCTCTCACCTGGGTCGGCTGGGAAGGGACAGGGAAAGTCCTGCACAGGGAAACTGAGGCCCCAGGGGCCTGGTGCTGTGTGACCACCCCAGGGGGCCCCAAGCTGTGCCCAGACCATCCCTGGAGGCCTGGGGACACTGACTTGAGGACCAGCCAAGGCCCCACAGTCCCCCCATCCTCCCAACCCACCACCTGCCCGGCAGCTGCTCTGCTCAGTCCTCAAGGGACAAGTCCCCATGAGAACACCGTTCTCCCTTTAGCCAGGGCACACAGGAGGACGGGAGCGTCGCTGGCACTTATGTCAGCAAGGCGCACAGCTGGGCAGCTGGCCCTGGTAGGATCCGAGCACCTGGGAGGACAGATGGGCCTGAGGTGCCCACTTCCTTCACCAGGTATGTCCTCGTCACCTGTCTGACCCTGGCTTTGCAGGAGTCATACACAAGCCAACGTGCAGACCTGATGGGGGTGGGCCCTGGGACGTGGGGACGTGCCCCTGGGGCTTCCAAGAACCTGAGGGTTTGTAGGGAGACCTGGGGGGGACCAGGGCATCTGTGGGGCCGGCACGACAGCTGAACTCTGGGCAGTATGGAAGTGCTGCAGTGTTCTAGCCCTGAGTCCATGGAGAAGGACTACTAAAGCAAGGGCTTCTGACCTCAAGCCCACCCCACAGAGCTAGGTGGGTCAGCAGACGGTGCCCCTGCTCACCATCTTTGCCTGCAGCTGACTCGGTGCTGAGCACTTCCCCTGGGCCCCAGCTCCACCGGGTGACCAGGGGACAGGTGGAGGCTACGTGGGAGCATGGGAGGGTGGCACGCACAGCTCACCTGGTGCTGTCCTCGACCCTGCTCCCGCAGGTTGAGGGCGATGCGGTGGGCCTGCTCCTTGGTGCTGAGCAGGTTGATGTTGAATGCGATGAGGAACTTCCGTGCACCCGTGACGGTGGCCCCCCAGCTGGGGACAAAGCAGCTGGGGCCGAAGTCAGGCTCCCATTCGGCCTGCTTGAGCTGCAGTACAGTGAACCTGGTTTAGAGCAGGGCTGGGTCCACCCTTCCTGCAGAGGGGGGGGGATGGGCCATGCCCTCCCCAGCCCGGCCACCGTGGGCAGCACCTTCTCAGGGAGGGCCTCGTACTCCCCCGCTCGGATGGCCGGCAAGGTTCTGCGGCTGGCTGTCCGTGCCGCCTCACCATAGAGGTACACTGCAAGAGACCCCACCAAGCAGCCTCAGCCAGCGAGGGTCACACTCGTTCCCTGGGCCCTGGCAGGTGGCTCCTGCCACCTCAGTCTGGAACAGCCCTCCCTCGGTTCCAGGCACCCCACTCTGTGCCTCCTAGGATGGACATCATGGCCTCTGAGTGACAGCATGGCCCTGCCCATGGGCTCCGATGCCCTACAAAGGTCATCATTATGCAGCCAGCATGGGGTGTGGCCAGCACTAAAGGACGCTCATTTTTTTTTTCAAAATGCATGTCCATTGATGTAACACAAGTGAGGGCACCCAGAACAGAGGATGAAGCTCGCACAGCCCCATGTCACTGGGCAGGGATGGCCTGGCCGGTGTCTGTGTGTAGGATTCCACCCCAAGAGGTCAGTCCCCACTGCTGGGCAGGCACTGGGTGGGGCTTGGACAGTGCACCCTTCTCCTGGTGGGCTCCCTGCCCCGTCCTCTCTCTGAGGCTTGGAGGTGGATGCATCTTGTGGCCCACGCTGCCGCATGGGCAAAGGGGCCCCGCCAGTCAGGACGCCCTCGGCAGAACCGGTGCCCAGCAGGACCGGAGCACCCCAGGCTGTGCTGCTGCTGCTCCCTGCGGCTTCCTCACTGTGAGAAGGGCGGCCTGCGCAGTGCTCACTCAGGGCAGTCTTCTGCTCCAGGGCTCAGCATGACAGGACTTGTGAGGCCCAGGCCCCCCCAGGTCTCACCTGGCACCTTCAGCTCCTCTGCCAGCCGCTGGCCGAAGGCCTGGGCACACAGCACACACTGGTCCATGGTGACACCCCTCACTGGGATGAAGGGGCAGACGTCCAGGGCGCCCATGCGGGGGTGCTCCCCTGCAACGGGGCTGGTGAGGAGTGGGGCTCCCTGGGACCCTCCGGCCCTCTTGACCAACCTGATCAGACCCTGACCATCCTCCAGCTGTCCATGCTGACCTCAGGAAAGTGGCCAGCCCCCTGTGCCCAGACTCGCCTTAATGACAGCAAATTCTGCCTGGGGTGGCCTAGCAGGGACACAGCCCATCTTCACTGCGAGGGGGGACAAGACCAGATGAAGCAGTAGGAGGGCAGGTGGCACCCTCTGGGATCAGGCTCTCCTCCCACCCAACCAGCCCCGGAGCACTCCACAGGTGCCCTGCTTGGCTCCAAGGGCACCCGGCCAAGCCAAATGCCAGCCCAACCCTCCTCCCCGCCGGCCCACTCAGCACACTCCAGCCACTGAGGTGGCCTGCGCGGGATCAGTCCTCCCGGCCCCCGGCCCTCTGCCTGTAGGACTGGCTCCTCTTCACCCTGAGATGACCCTCTTATCTGTGGCCACCAGGATACCAAAATCCCTCCCTATAGAAAGAGACCCTGGTCTTTCGACCGGCTGAGCTCCTGTGTCCACGGACTTTTGACCCTGCCTACCAGTCATTGTTTGGTTTTCGGGAGGCTGACAGGTCAGTTTCTGCCACGTCTTCTACCCTGGCCTCCCCCCAGGGCCTGCTGAGCCGGGTGCAGATGAGGGAGCTGTCGGTCACCTCAGGACCCTGAATCTAGGGCGGCTGGTGTCCACACCTTCTGGGCCGGCGGGCTCCCAAGGACTGCGTCCACTGGCCCCTCTGTGCCCCTCCCCACCCTCCTGGCCCTGGGAGCTCACAGACCCAGCACCACAGTGTGTCCAGGACAACGGGTCCTTCACGGGGTCCTCCGTAAAGTCTGCCCAGTGGCCCTGTTGAACCTATACCCCAGACCACTACCCTGACCACCTCTGTCCCAGGACGGCTGGGACCAGCACGGGGCTCCACCAGGTGCTCTGAGACACCCTCACCTCGGTGCCTGCTCATGTCAATGAGCCGGGAGGCCGTGCGGGCGGCACTCAGGGCCCCTTCCACCACACACTCGGGCTTGCCAACAAAGGTGTAGACGGTGCGGTTGGTGGAGAGGCCTGCGTCGACGTCCAGCAGGACACAGCCTGGGGTCTGCGAGATGGCCTGGGAGATGGCCCCGATCACCTGGGAGAGGGCCCAGCCCCAGACTCAGTCCCAGGTGGAAGCTCTGGCAGTGGCTGCACCCTGCCCTGAGTGTGGGGCTGAGAGGTGGCTCGGAGCATTTGGGGGCCCTCCAAAGAGCTGAGCTGCCCCCAGAGGGCCTGCCTGGGGCAACAGGTGGACCCTATCGCAGGGGCCATGATGGACAGACCCAGCAGGGAACAGGACCAGGTATCCCCTCAGAAGGAAATGAACTGGGGGCCTGCCCACAACACCCAGAGGGTTGTCCAGGGCACCCAAAGGTGACCAGCAGGCCAAGACCACAGAGGGCAGGGTCCCTAACCCCCACAGCCTCTCAGTGGAGGGGCATCTGTGGGGTGCTGATGACAGTGGGGGAGGGGCTCACAAGCCTAGAACCTTCTGAGAAAACTGGGACTCACTGCCCGATCCTGTCCTGCAGTCCTCGGTGGCCTGCCTGACATCTCTGTGCCTCAGGTTCCCATAGGTTGAGGCATGACAGTGTCCACCTGACAGCTGTGGGGGCTGTTGCAGGGCCACTCCTGGATGTCCCCTGAGGCCTCAGACAGCTCTCCACACTGGTCTTCAAGGGGCCCCCTCAGAGGGAACCACTGAGGACCCCGGAGACCAAGTGATCTGCCCAATTCCCAGCAGGGGCACCACCAGCTCTGTGTGCCGCCCCCCACCCGCCAGTCAATGGAGTCCCCCACGTCCAGGGCACTGCTAGGACGGGTCCTGAGGAGGCAGCCCGCACCCACAAGGAGCACGCTCCCCTCTTCACCTTCACCCCGAGCCTGCACCAGGGTCATAAGGCCTCACCTCCTGGTCTCTCCCCTCTGAGAAGTTGGGGACACACTCCACCAGCTGGGACATGGCCAGCACTTGGTCCAGACACTGCTCTTGAGGGACAGAGAGGAGAGGCACTCAGAGGTGTGGGCCTAGTGCCGCCAGCAGTGCCCTCCCACAGTAGGCTTCTTATTAACCAGCACCTCAGAGGAGGTGGAGCTGGTCCTCGGGCCGCTCCCCAGAGCACCTGACCAGGCCAGTGGGGCACTGAGGACCCTGGAGGCTCTGGTGGGGTAAAGTCCAGGCAGACGCCTCAGGCCAGTGTAGCTCAAGTCCCAGCTTGACCCAGGGCCACTTGCTGACCTTCCAGTGGCCCTGTATTGTCCTCTGAGTAGCCTTCCTGGTGACCCCCTAAGTGACCTCTGCACTCCACAGAGGTCAGCACGACTCAGATGGGCAACTGGGGTACTTGTCTGTGTGTGTAGAGTGGGTGTGGGTGGTGTGGGTAAATTGTAATGTGTGGGTGGATGAGTCTATGTGTGAGAGAGTGCACACAAGAGTGTGTGTAAGGGTCCTGGCATACAAGTGTGTGTTAATGTCCTTGCACACACAGATGACAGGCGGAAGGCTTACGCAGGCATGGGTGTGTGTCTGCATGGAGGTTGGGCACAGCATAGGTGTAATATTTACACCAGCACATCTGTGGGTGTGTGGGTGTGTCAGTGTGAGCACAAGTATGGATGTTCTTGTGTGGATGTGCTACCATGCACATGGATGTTAGCGTGAGCAAGTGTATGGGTGAGGGTGGGTGTGGGTGTGTGGGTGTGTGGGTGTGTGTGGGTGTTGGTGTGTGAGGATGCGGGTGTGTGGGTATGTATATTGGTGTGTCAGTGTGAATGTTGGTGTATGTGGATAGTGTGTGTAGATGGTGTGTGTGTGTGTGGACATGACATGGGGGTATGTGTGGATGGTATATGTGTGGATGTTGGTGTGAGTGTGGATGTAGGGGGGGTGTAGATGTGGGTGTGTGGGCACGTATATTGGTGTGTCAGTGTAGATGTATGTGTGTGTGGATGGTATGTGTAGATGGTCCCTGTGTGTGGACATGAGTGTGTGTGGATGTAGATGTATGTGTGTGGATGTTGATGTGTGTGTGGATGTGTGGATGTGTATGTGGGTGTGTGAGTATGTATATTGGTGTGTCAGTGTGGGTGTGAGTATGGGTGTGTGTGTGTGTGGGTGTGTGGATGTGGGTGTGTGGAAATTGGTGTGTGGATGTGTGTGGGTGTGGACATGAGTGTGTGTAGATGTAGGTATATGTGTGCGGATGTGGTGTGTAGATGGTGCGGATGTTGGTGTGTGTGGACTCTGGTGTGTCAGTGGCATGGGTGTGTAAATATAGGTGTGTGTGGTGTTTTTGAGGACATGTGTGTATGTGTAGACGTGGGTGTGTGTGTATGGTGTGTACGTGAACATGGGAGTGTGTGTGGATGGGTGTGTGGGTGTGTGTGGATGGTGTGTGTATGTGGGCATAGGGGTGTGTGGACATGGGTGTGTGTGAACAAAGGGCAATGAATGGACATGGGGGGTATAGATGTGTGTGTGGATGGTGTGTGTAAACATGGGAGTGTGTGTGGATGTGGGTGTGTGAACATGGGTGTGTGTGGACCTGGGTGTGTATGGGCATGAGGGTTATGTAGATGGTGTGTGTGTGGACATGGACGTGTGTGAACATAGGTGTGTGTGGACGTGGGTGTGTGTGAATGTGTGAGTGGATATGGGGGTGTGAGTGGATGGTGTGTGTGGACGTGGGGGGTATAGGGGTGTGTGTGTGTGTATGTGGGGGGATGTGGACGTATGTGTGGATGTGGGGGTGTGGACGTGGCTGTGTGTGGACATGGGTGTGTGTGGACATGGTTGTGTGTGAACATAGGTGTGTGTGGACGTGGATGTTGTGAATGTGTGAGTGGACATGGGGGTGTGTGTAGATGGTGTGTGTGGACATGGGGGGTGTAGGTGTGTGTGTGTGTGTATGTGGGGGGATATGGACGTGGGTGTGTGTGGACGTGGCTGTGTGTGGACATGAGTGTGTGTGGACATGGTTGTGTGTGAACATAGGTGTGTGTGGACGTGGGTGTGTGTGAATGTGTGAGTGGACATGGGGGTGTGTGTAGATGGTGTGTGTGGACGTGGGGGGGTGTAGGTGTGTGTGTGTGTATGTGGGGGGATGTGGACGTGGGTGTGTGTGGATGTGGGGGTGTGTGGACATGGGTGTGTGTGGACATGGTTGTGTGTGAACATAGGTGTGTGTGGACGTGGGTGTGTGTGAACGTGTGAGTGGACATGGGGGTGTGCGTAGATGGTGTGTGTGGATATGGGGGTGTGGATGTGGCTGGGCCTGTGCCCTCCCAGGGGCGGGCAGGGAGACAGGCTGGCTGACCACACTGCTGCGCAGCTCCCAGGGCAGGCGGCAGCTCCCAGGGCAGGCAGCTCCCAGGGCAGGCAGCTCCCAGGGCAGGCGGCGGCTCCCAGGGCAGGCGGCGGCTCCCAGGGCAGGCGGCGGCTCCCAGGGCAGGCGGCGGCTCCCAGGGCAGGCAGCTCCCAGGGCAGGCGGCGGCTCCCAGGGCAGGCGGCTCCCAGGGCAGGCGGCGGCTCCCAGGGCAGGCGGCTCCCAGGGCAGGCGGCGGCTCCCAGGGCAGGCGGCAGCTCCCAGGGCAGGCGGCTCAGGCCCCGGCTCCCAGCTGCATGTGGCCTCAGGAGTTCTTGCTGACTGCAGAGGTCACTTTCCCTTCCACCAGGGCCCATGGTCCTCTGGCCACCTGGCCGCACCTGGCATTGCCATCCTGGCGCCCACATGGCACCTCCTGCTCCGAGGGGCCCTCCAGGGCAGCACCTCACAGCCTTTGTGGCTTTTGTGGTCTGAGGCTTCATCACTCCACGGCAGCGCTGGGGTGGCCACGGGGCCTGGACCAGCAGCTGCGTGTGGGCCTTGGGGAACCGACCTCAGGGAGACTGGAGGGAGGGACTGGGAGAGCCGAGAGGCCCTCGGAGGCTAGAGGCAAATGGCCCCCTGACCAGCGCTCCACGCCTGGAGGCGGGGAAGGGAGAGGGGTCTCCCCACCAGAACCCACACGTTGAAGCACTAACACCGAGGCCTCTGGAGGTCTTTGCATTTGAGATGAGGTCTTCCAAAAGGAGGCCCTGATCCAACATGACCCTGTCCCTACGGGAAGGGACCAGATCACAGCACACAGGGGACAACCTTGAGGACACGGGGGAGGGTGCGGTGAAGAAGGCCCAGGAAGAACAGCTCCTGGGTGAGCTGTGGTCAGCCCACACTGTGGCTTTGGTCACAGCAGCCCAAGCCAATCCCAGGCCCCACGGGTGCTGGGGCATTAGAACGCCCGGCCCTGAGGACAAGGGCAGGCTGCCCATGCTGACCAGAGGCCCCAAGACCTCCATCCTCAGGCCTACACAAGGAGCAGGACGAGCCCGGAAACTTGGTGGTGCCCGAGAGTCAGGAGGTGCTCAGAAACAGATCTAAACACCAGGGCCCCCAATAATGGGGGCAGGTCAGCAGGTGGCAGGAAACCACGGCAGGTGCTCCCAGAGCCCAAGCATGAAACAACCCAGTGAGTCCCTAGGCCCTGCATCAGGGGGATACCGTGGAAGAGACGATCTCTACACACCAGAATCCCAAATGGCTCATGCCAACCGCGGCCTTGGGCAGGAGCACAGCCCACTTCCTAGCCAGGCCCAGCCTGCACATGCCACCCACCCCATTGCAGGGCCAGTGCTGCCCTGGAGCTTTGGTCCCAAGGCACGGGGGCAGGCCTGCCTGCGTGCCAGTTCCTCTTGCTGTTAGACAATGAAGAGAAGCGTCCTCTGGCCCGAGAGCCCTCAGACATCTTCATGCAACGACAGGGAGTGGCCCGGCTACTGGCGCCCCTCGGGAGGCTCCAGAACAGTGGATACTCAGGGCCCACTGTGTGCTGGGTGGGCCAGCCAAAGCCTGGGGACCTCGAAGACCCAGGCACAGGAGCTGAGGACACTAAGGTCCCTGGGGGACCGTGGCCAAAGGCCACTCTGCCCTGGACCACCCATCAGTCATGTTTCTTTTCACTTTAGATGAGGCTCTGCATCTGAGGCCTTGATGGTGGGAGGGGCCAGCCTTCCCAGGGCTGGCTGATTTCTAGAGGTGGACAACGACCCATATGTGCAGAGCATGCCTTCGAGACTCACCCAACCAACCCCCACATCCCCAACAACACCTCTCCTGTCACCTCCAAGCCAGTGGACACCCAGGTCACTCAGGGAGATAGTTGTCAATAGGGACCCATGACCCAGAGCCCCAGCAGCTGGGCCACTGAATTCTGCCTGTGTACTCAGACTTGCCCCCACCTCGCCACTCCATCACAAAGCCACGGTGAGGGCCTCCTGCTCTGCCCTGGCTGCCCAGGGGCACCCACGTGGCCCTCCACATCATGGCAGGCCCCTCCAGGGTCTCCCCGCTCACTGTCCCCTTACCCTGTTAAATTACCCTGGCTGTGCACCACTAACCTCATCCCACCTCGGGCTCGAGGAGTTCACTAGTGGCACTGCAGGGAGAGTTGGGTCCCACTGGCCGAGCCTGCCACTAACCCTAGTCCTGGGGTCTGGACGTGCCCAGCAAGGCTCCTGGTGCAGTTTGGAGTGGCCAGGCCCACTGCATGGCTTCTTGCTCCTGAAGGTGACCTCCAGAGGATGAGCATAATAACAATGCCCACCAGAGCCTCTCAGGGACAAGGGCAGCCAGGTCAGCTGGCCCCTTCCCCTACAGGCTTTGGGTTGGTCCCCATCCCAAGTCTCACCGACACCCACAGGAGTCTCAGAGCTTGTGGCCACCAGTTAGAGTGGATCCCTGAGTGTTCCACCCTCTATTCTGGCTCTGACCCATTAATGAGTAAGACAAAGACCCCCCCCTCTGTTCCCAGAGGACGGTGGGACAGGGCTGGGCGTGAGACAGAGACCCCCCCCCTCTGTTCCCAGAGGACGGTGGGACAGGGCTGGGCGTGACACAGAGACCTCCCCCCTCTGTTCCCAGAGGACGGTGGGACAGGGCTGGGCGTGACACAGAGACCCCCCTCTGTTCCCAGAGGACGGTGGGACAGGGCTGGGCGTGAGACAGAGACCCCCCCTCTGTTCCCAGAGGACGGTGGGACAGGGCTGGGCGTGAGACAGAGAACCCCCCTCTGTTCCCAGAGGACGGTGGGACAGGGCTGGGCGTGAGACAGAGACCCCCCCCCTCTGTTCCCAGAGGACGGTGGGACAGGGCTGGGCGTGAGACAGAGACCCCCCCCCTCTGTTCCCAGAGGACGGTGGGACAGGGCTGGGCGTGACACAGAGACCCCCCCCCCTCTGTTCCCAGAGGACGTGGGACAGGGCTGGGCGTGACACAGAGAACCCCCCCCTCTGTTCCCAGAGGACGGTGGGACAGGGCTGGGCGTGAGACAGAGACCCCCCCCCTCTGTTCCCAGAGGATGGTGGGACAGGGCTGGGCATGAGACAGAGACCCCTCTCTGTTCCCAGAGGACAGTGGGACAGGGCTGGGCGTGACACAGAGACCCCACCTCGGACCCCAAGGACACCCACAGGTCTCCTGGACCCCAGGGCTGGCCCCATTTGCCACAGTGGAGGGGCTCCCTTCCCTGTTGCTGTGGCTTGCTCACTTCCTGCCCTGGGTAAATGACCTCCTGGGCTGCGTCGTGCTCAGTGGCACAGGCCAGTGCAGTTCATAGGGCCTGTGGGCTCCTTGGCCATCCCAACTGCATCCAAACCCCGCCTTCAGCCCTGTTTGGGGACTCGCTGGTCCTTCCAAGGGAGGGTCTGAGGCCTCCAAGGCTGCCTGCCCTCTGGCGAGGAAGCGGCACAGCCCTGGCACAGTCCTGGCCTAGAGCCCAGGCACCCTCCCTGTGGGCTCTTTCCACAGACACAGTTGGCACCTCCTGCAGGCGAGCAGAGACCAAGGCGCTCTCCACGCCCTCAAAGAGCCAGAGGTAAGGCAGAAAGGTAAACATGCTTTTAATAAGGCGACAGGTGCCCTTGACTGCGGGCGGCGGAGGGCTGCTGGGCCCCCAGGAAGAGCGGCTGGCCACGGGAGGCCTTTGCCCGCTGCAGCACCAGCAGACCGCTTCCCCTGCGGGAGGGACACGCAGGAGCACGGCGGCCCCCGGGTTTGGAACAAACATCTTTATTGCAGGAGGGGCAGGCGGTGCGGCTCACCAGGCGAAGAGCGGCTTGCTGTCCTCCTTGGAGAGCTCGCACAGGCAGTTCAGCAGCAGGAGCGAGTCGCCCAGGAACTTGGGCGGCACGATGTCGATGACCAGCTTTCGCAGCGCGGCTGGACTGCTGTGCAGCGGGTTGGCGCGCAGGTCCGGCCGCTGCTTCAGGATGCCGTAGGTGTTAATGAGGAACTCGCTGAAGACCGGGTGCACCTCGCGGCTGTAGCCCAGCTTCTCCAGCCGGGCGGTCAGCGTCAGGTAGCGATGCGTCAGCTCCCTCAGCTTCTTCTCATCCACCGAGCCGTCCAGGGACTTGATGGAGGTCTGCAGACACAGGATGGTGGGGGCCACACCCCTGGTCAGGGCCACCTCCTGGCCCAGCAGTGTGGGACGGGGTAGGGCCGCCCGGGAAGCTTAATGTAGGAACCCAGGTCCCCACCCCTCCAGCACCTCCAAAAGACGAGCCACCAGGGCCCTGCTTGGACCAAGCACAGCCTGGTGCCCACAGCATCGGCCAGCCCCAGGATGTGCCAGGGTGCTGAGCACCCGCTGGGTCAACCCCAGGATGCGCCTGTGTGACCCCACCCCCAGGTTAGCCCCAGGAAGCAACCAGGTGCTCCACCCGGGTCAGCCCCAGGACGCCCGGGTGCCCAGCCCCTGAGGCAGTCAGGACATACCTGCTTTATCTTCTCGGGGATGTTGGACACAGTGAAGCCATAGAGCCGCGTCACACCAGGGAACACATAGGCCAGGATGCGCCGGTCCAGCTGGAAGGCAATCTCTCCCACGATGCGGCCATCCTTCTCTGCACCCGCAAAGCTCTGGATCTCTGCATGAGGAGGGGGCGGGTGTGGCCAGGTCATAGCTGTCCCAAGGGATGTCCCTCACCCTGCCTGCAGGGCAAGGGCAAACAGAGACCTAGGGCAGAGGGAGCCTTCCCTCCCACCTGCCCTCCGAAGTCCCTTGGTGGCCAGGCGCTGTGGCCCACTCCTCTGCCAGAGGCATGTGAATCGCCTCAGAAGCTGAGTGAGCCCAGCCTGCTACTGTGAGGGCAGTTCCCGGGGTCTGCATGCCCGGCACAGTGCTGTCCCTGGTGGACCTGGATGCCGCCCTGCATCCAGTAGGCACTTGGGTGATTGCTGGGCGTGTGCCCTGGCCTGAGGACAGTGGGGAGCAAGTGGCCCCACAGCTGAGGGAAGGGTGAGACTCTGGAGTACGGGCCAGTCCACGTCTGCTCGATAACAAGCCGGCTCTTTCCAACCACGGTGCAGGAGACTACTGGGCAGGCAGGAGACCCTGTCCATCATTCCCTGACACCACTTGGAAAACTTCCCCACAAAAAAGCTGCTCTCAAATGCTCCTCTGGCAGCCACCGACGCCCCTGGCGGCACTGGCTATCTGTCCAATGCAGGCCAAGACCCTTCAGGACAGAGGGCTTTTTGAGAATGAGTGGCACCTGAGCTTGACGTCACCGTGAGAGCCCTGCCTGAGAGTGTCTGAGACACTCCCTCCATTTGGAGACCCCCTCTCTGCACCGTCCCTGAGGTGCAAGGAGCGAGCTTGCGCAGAGCCGCTCCCTTGCTGTGCCACTGGGACTCCCCCTGGCGCCACGCGCTGGCACACCCACATGCACAGCCTCCTGAAGCCCCTGAACCCTCCAGACAGTTTGTGGTAGGAACCCTCCACAGAGCTGCCGGCTGGGCGGGGCCTGCTGATCTGGGCAGAGAGCAGGTACAGGTCCTGTGCCCACCTGACACAGCTCAGCACACAGTGCCCCAGGCCTGACCTGCCCTGTCTGGCCTCGGGGTGTTGGGGGCACTCCAAACCAGCCATGGAGATCCAGGACCTCCTCGCCACCACGGGAGTGTGAGGGGCCAAGACCAGGACCATCTCTTGCAGGACCTGGGCCTGCTGCTCACCCCTGGACAGACGTAGGCCCACCAGGGGCCAAGGCCTGTGCCAGGGCCAGATTCACAATGACGGACAGCTGTGTCAGGCAGGTGAGCCTGGATAGCTGGGCCGCGAACTTGGCTGCTGTCAAGGGGCATGGGACCACACAGGAGGAAGCTTCCACAGGGGGAGGTGGGACCCCCACCCTGGGCCCGTAGCAGAGGTGACCAGGCACACAAGAGGCCAGGCCAGTGCTGTCCAGGGACACTGTGTCAACTTCTTTGACCCTTGCAGGACCAGTCCCTCCCAAGGCAAGCATCTACACCATGTGGCCCAAAGTGTGCTCTGTGGAACACTGGGCCTGCCCGGGAGGTGCAGAAAGGTTGTGTGCGGCCAGGGTCAGCATGACCTGCCCTGCTCCCCTGCATAAGCTGCTAGAATGTGACACAGACTTTGCCTCCCCAGCCAGACACAGCAGGGCCCACCCCTGGGCCTCCTCTATGACCGGGGCTCCTCTGGCCGAGGAGGAAGAGGCCTCTGGGTGGGCAGCTGTGACAGGGCAGGAGCCAGGCTGGGGCCGGAAGATACAGGCTGCATCTGCGCCCTCCCTTGGCAGCACTTTCCGGCCTTTATAATGTGATTTGCCCACATGAAGGTCCTTTAGGGCGATCCTGAGACAGCTGCAGGAACTGAGTCCAGGGCACCTGCTACAACATTTTCATCTCCTAAGAACAAATCCTGTGCCTGATAACAACTACTCCCGCAGCCCTGGCGACCAATGCTTGGCTTTGCCTCCCTGTGGGTCCCCCTGTTCTGCACGTTCCACATGACTTGTGGCCTTTCGACCTGGCTTCACACGCTCAGCATGGTATTCCGAGGTCCATCCTCTGTTGTAGTGCATGCCAGTGCTTCACTCCTGTTTATGGCTGAGTAGTATTCCATCATGGAGCTAGACCATACAGTTTATCTGCACCCTGGCCAGCGCGTGGGCGTCTGGGCTCTTCCCACTCTGGCTAATCTGAGCATGGCTGCATGAGCATTCAAGTAAAGGCTCTCAGGTGGATGTCCGCCTTCCACTCCTGTGGGTGCACACCAAGGAACGGGGTCGTGCCATGTGGGAACACTGGGTTCAGCCTTGTGAGGACTGCGAGCTGTTTTCTCAGGGGCTTCCCCCTGGCATTCCCACCAGAGTGTATGTCCCAATTCCATTTCCCCGCCCAGGCCACTGCAGTGAAAGGCAGCTCACACAGGTCTCCCTGTATTGCGCTGATGGCCACAGACCCTGTGCACCTCTTCACCTGCCTGCTGGTCATCTGCACATCTTCTTTGGAGGGTTGTCCACCCACGCCCTTGGCTATTTTGACTAGATTACTTGTAAGAGCCCTTCCAAGAATGTGATTTTTTTTAAATTTTTTTAGTAGTAGATGGACACAATACCTTTATTTTACTTATTTATTTTCAAGTGGTGCTGAGGATGGAACTCAGGGCCTCACACATGCTAGGCGAGTGCTCTACCACTGAGCTACGACCCCAGCCCCCAAGAATGTGATTTGCAGATACTTTCTCCCACTCTCTAGGGTGATGCTTCATTGTTTTGAAACTCTTCTTTGGAGCACAAAAGTGTTTACTCTGGGCGAAGTTGATGGAGTCCATCAGTCTCTCTGGTTGCCAATGCTGTTGGTGTCATGCCTAAGCAGGCCCTGCCAGGCCCACACTACACAGACCTTGCTCTGGGCTTCCTTTGAGGGCCACGGCTCAGGATCCTGGAGCTCTCTTGGGCATCTGATGCGTTCTGAGTTGGGTTTTGTGCGAGGTGGGGTCCCACAGCTTCCTCTGCTGGCACACGTCACCCAGCACCACTTGTTGAAGATGGTTCTTTCTCCATTGGGTTGCCTGGCACCCTTGTGGGACACCAACCACGAATGTCTGAGCTTATTTCGGGGGCTCTAGATCCTTTTCCCCTGGTCTCTGTCTGTCCTTATGATGGGACCACACAACTTGATTGCTGTAGCCTGACAGGGGGTCTTAGAATCAAAAAGGTGAGTCTCCCAATTTTGTTCTCCTTTTTAAAATTGCTTTGCCCATTCTGGGTCCCTTGTATTTCCATGGGTTCAGCTTATCAAAGGTTCAGCTTATCAAGATTTTGTAAAGAAGCCAGCTGGGACTTTGATAAGGATGGCATTAAATCTATAAATCCATGCAAGTTACTATGAAACAATATTAAGCCTTCTAATTCATGACCCAAGACTCACTGTCTACTTAGGTGTTTGATCACTTTTAACACTGCCTGTGGTTTTGGTGGACTTCTTTACGGAAACTGCGGACAGAGACTGCGCAGCGGCACACAGAGCAGGCGGGCGCAAGAGGGAGGTGACTCCCCATCCCAAGGAGCTGCGCTAGGGGGCCTCTGCTCCCCCCACCCCTCTGAAGCTTTAATCGGCAGATGAGACAGCTACATCTGAGACGCTCTAGAACTCCTCTCTATCCAAACTCGGCTCCCACCTGTTCTTCAAAGAAGAAGGTCAATCCAACCAATGCACCTCTAGTCCCACACCAAAGCCACCACGTCAGGAGTGAGAGATCACAGCAGCCCAAGCACATCTGCAGGGAGACGAGAAATGTTAGCAAGAACTTCAGGCCAAAAGCCCTGACAGCCTAGAGAAAATGGACCAGGTTCTTAGAAGACAAACTACAGGCTGGGCATGATGGCCACACTGTGACCCCCAGAAGTCTGGGAGGCTAGGCAGGAGGGTCACAAGTTCAAGGCCAGCCTGAGCAACTTAGCAGGGACCTATCTCAAAATGAAAAGGGCTGGGGACGGGGTTCAGTGGCAGAGCCCCTTGGCTCAATCCTCTGGCTCGAAAAGACAAACCACTGAAGCTTACTCAAGAAGAACTAGACAATTGGAATAGCCATAGATCAGTAAAATGGGACTTCTCAGGGGGAAAATTCTTAGAGAAAATTCAAGGCTCAAGTGGTTTGATTGGTGAATTCTACGAGATATTTAAGGAGTAAGTACTACAAATTTGACACAAACTCTACCAAGACAATTAAAGAGGAGGAACGTTTCCATCTGGGTTGAGGCCAGCCATCTGATACCAACTCAGAAAATGGCATTAACAGAAGACTGCAGCCCAACATTCCTCACGAGCACAGATTCTTAACAGAATCTGGGCAAACTGGATCTCATAATACAAAAAGATGGAACACACTGTGAGCAAATAGGATCTACCTCAAGAATGCATGGTCAGTTCACATCTGAACACAGGACCTGTGTGGCGCGCATGGTGTACGACCAGGAGAAGGGGAGGTTAGACTCCAAGAGTGAGGATATGTCGAAGTATACTCTGCCATCATGGATGACCACAAAGAACAGATAAAAAATCAAGAAGAAGAAAGGAATAATGGTTGGCTTAGCACTCAGCAAGCAGTGTGGTTTACCATATGCTGAGGTGTGGGTGGTAGGCTGGTCTCGGGGCGGTGGGAGGTGCTGTGAGAGTAAGAGTGAGCCTAGTGGTCATCCCTCAGCTCTCTGGGACCTGCCCTCCAGTGCAGATGGGACTGTCTCTGGCCAGCTGCTTCCTGGCTCCTGGGGCCACTTGCTCTGAGAAGGGCTCCTGCCATGGCATGCTGCCTCACCACAGGCTCACACCAGTGGTACCCCTGACCCTGGACTTAAACCTCCAGAACCATGAGCCAAAATAAACTCTCTTTACTTCATAAATACCCTGTGTGCCAGGTGTTTCATTATAGTGATGTGAAACTGACTGATACACCATGATCACCAACCGCAAAGGACAACCAAGTGCTCATCTCAATAGAGGCAGGAAAGCAACTGACAAAGTCCAACATACATTCCTGACAAATAAGCAAACTAGAACTCAGAGGGAACTTCTTCAGTACAATGAAGGGCAGCTACAGACACTCAGCTAGCACCAGGCTCACTGGTGAGAGGCTGAAAGCCCCACATCAGGGAAGGATGTCACCACTGTGTTGGCCACTGTCCAGCCCTGGTCTAGAGGAAGAGATGACAGGCACTGGGCTGGGGGCGTGCCTCAGGGGTCCAGGGCCTGCTGGGCCTGGGCAAAGCCTGGGTTCCGTCCCCAGCACCGAAAGGAAAAGGAAAAAAGAAAAAGGCACATACATTAGGAATTTTTAAAAAGTTTGAAAATCTGTCTTCATTCACAACCCAATCATCTGCGTAGCTTTAAAATGCCACGGAGGAGGCTCCCGGGGAAGATGGCAGAATGGATGTGCCCTCTGCATAGCTCTGCAAGGGGCAGAAACACGCTCAGGAGAAAAAGAGGAGCTCCAGGGGGTGGGAGAGCGCAGACACCAGGGACCCACCCAAAACCACTAGAACAAACTAATGTTGTGCAGGATGTAAAGATTAAGCCAGAAAGATCACAGACACGTCACTCAGAACCACAAGTTTCCCCAGAGAAACAGACCAACAGGGCGTGCCCATGAAGAGGGATCTAGCTCACGGGACTGGCTCTCACATCCGAGGAGACGGTGAGCCCCAGATCAGCAAGCTGGAAACCCAGGAGACCTGAGGTGTGCGTGTGGCTCCTGCCCAAAGGCCAGCAGGCTGGACACCCAGGAAGAGTGACGTGCAGGGTCAGGACAGAGGCAGCCAGGTAGGAGTTCTCCCTGACTCTGGGGAAGGTCTGATCAGGGCTTCAACTCATGGGGTGAGGCCCACCCATGAAATCTCAACCTCCTACAAAGACACTCCCCACAGACACACCCAGAGTAAGGTCTGGCCAAATATCTGGGTTCCCATGGCCCAGTTAAGTTGGCTCATAACTATTGCAGAGTCGATACACAAAAATCCACTGTGCTACTATATTCTAGAAACAGACACCAGAGGTTGATATGAGAAAGCAATTCTACCTATAATGGCATCAAAAATATGAAATACTCAGGGGTAAAATTGATGAATGTGTGCAAGACTTGTGGGGAGGAGGGAAGAAAAGGGAAGGTAGTAGCGAATGAAGCTGATCAAATTGTGTCATGTGCATGTACGAACATGGCACAAAGAACCCCACTACTGTGTTTAATCATAAAGTGACAAATAAAAGAAACAAATAAAAAATTTAAAAAACAATTTTTTAAAAATGTTCAAGACCTGTATGTAGAGAACCACAAAACACTGTGAGAACTGTTACAGACAGTGGAGTGATACACAGAGTCCACAGAAGATCCGTGCTGCAGAGGTGCCGTTTCTCTGAATCTTGAGCTGATTGACTTGTAGACTAGGATCCCAGTCAGAGTCACAGCAGGCTTTTTGGTAGAAATGGACAAGCCGATTCTAAAATATGTCTGGAAACTCACAGGACTCGGGAGAGCCACAACACGTGAGGAAGAGGACAAAGTCGGAGAGCCTGCATGTCCTGCAGGATTCGCAGTCTTTAAAACGACAGGACTCCGATCCAGGAGGACACAGACAGGTGGACGGAGACGCATGGAGGGTGCGGGAACAGCCTCACAGGTGCACAGACACAGATTTTCGGCAAGGAACCAGGCGGTTCAGCCACAGGGCACTGCCCCTGAGCACTGGGGCTGGAGGAGTAGACGTTTATATGTAAACCCACACCCATGCAGAAATGACTCGGACTGATCAGGGGCCCGAGTGTAAAACCTACAGCTGGAAGATGGAGGAAAGAACCTGTTACCCTGGGTTTGGCAAAGACTTTCCAAAATTATAAACTACAAAATGTACAAACTATGGGGCTAGGATTGTGGCTCGGCGGTTCAACGCTTCCTCACACGTGTGAGGCCCTGATCCTCAGCACCACATAAAAACAATGAATAATGTAGTTCTGCCACCTGTACACCAGGACAGAGGCAGCCAGGTAGGAGTTCTCCCTGACTCTGGGGAAGGTCTGATCAGGCCTTCAACTCACTGGGTGAGGGACGGAAGGTCAAGCAGGAACTCGACACCCTCAAAGTGTACAGCACCCTGGGGAGCCCTGGGGAGCACTGGCACCGCAGCCCCTGCTCTGGCCTCTGCTGGCACTCCCCTGGTGACAGGTGGCACCTGCCTCAGCAGGTGAATGAGAAATTATATCCCATCTGATTCAAATGTATGATATGTCAAGATCATTGTACTGTCATGTGTAACTAATTAAAACAAAGAAAAAAATAGAAAAATAAAGCAAATATAGTAGAAATAAAAATAACAACAGTTTTTCTTCCCCCAAACCTCATGGAAATAGAGGAGCCACTGACTGGGAGGCTGTGTCTAAAAACCATACCCAAATGGACCTGTATTTAGAATATTCAGTGAACTCCCACAACCAGAAAGGCAAGCAACTCAGCTTTCCTGACAGGTGGGGAGACAGCCCTGCTCTCTGGCCCGGCCAGCAACCCTCCGGCTCTGCGTGGCTGGAGAAGCTGTGAGCGGGTTGTCGCCTGGGCCACCTGCACGCGCCTCACCGTTGAGGTAGTAGCTCCGCCTGGTCCTGTCCCCGGTGGGCAGGCTGCTCTCCGAGAAGCACACCTTCTTGGGTCGCACCATCTCCCTGGGCTCGAGCAGCGTCTTGTCCACCAGTGGGTCCTGCAGGGGGCTCAGGAGCGGAGACAGCTTCCTGTCGGGGCCCCGGGCGTGCAGCTCTGGCGCACCAATGAAGGCCTTGAAGGTCACCTGGGAGGAGGTTGCACAGCCTGGGGAGGCTTCGTCCTCGCTGGAGAGGGGGGCGTGCGAGCACAGCAGGTCCTCCAGGGAGGACGTCTGCATCTGGGAGGGTGTGTCGGGGACACTGCTGAACCTCCCGAAGTCTGAACCTGGGTGGAAGGAAAGGGACGGAAGGTCAAGCAGGAACTCGACACCCTCAATGTGTAGAGCACCCTGGGGAGCCCTGGGGAGCACTGGCACCGCAGCCCCTGCTCTGGCCCCTGCTGGCACTCCCCTGGTGACAGGTGGCACCTGCCTCAGCAGGCCTCACACTCAGGGCCACATCCTGCAATGACTTCCACACACCTTTCTAATTTGTCACAAATGGTGTCATTCTGTGTGTTAATGTCTGAGAGCAGTCCATGATCAGCCACCTGCACACAGTGACTTCTGACCATGATTGTGAAGTCCCAGCTGTAGGAAGCCTCCCTGGACACACCTCCTCGCCCACAGTGCAGGCCCTCCCTGGTCAGCTCCTGGGCTCAGGTGAGAGGCATTTGACTTTCAAGCCCCATCTCCCAGGGGTCAAATTCAGCTTAACTCTTATTGCTTCTGAGGACCTTTGCTGCCTGCATTCTCCTAGCAATAAAGGAAAAGTGCACTTGACAAACTGTATTTTAAGAGTTATATCAAAAAAGTGTGTCTTAAAATGAGCATATTCAGGTACTGGCTATTTTACTCTCAAAAAATATTTTCCAAGGTAAAAAAAAAAATGTTCAAAGGATGAAAATTCATCAAGATCCTGCTCCATCTTCCCAGAGGAGGCTGGTCAGAGCCCCTCCACAGACCCTCTTCACACTAAGAAAGGGTACCGTGTACATGCACCACCTGGAAATGTCAATACAAGGAGAGTTCCTCTGGGAGATGATTTTTACATGATTTAATAAGACGTAGAAAATAGGGGCTGGGGATGTGGCTCAAGTGGTAGAGTGCTCGCCTAGCATGCGTGAGGTACTGGGTTCGATTCTCAGTACCACATAAAAAAATAAAATAAAGATATTTTTAAAAAGATTAAAAAAAAGAAGTAGAAAACATAAATGGGCCAATAAACAAAGAAGAAATATCTAAATCTTATAAGTAAATAATTATAAATAATTATTCCCTGAAGGAATGCAGGCCCAGGCAGTCTGTGGTAGATTCTTTCAGGTTCCCCGGCAGTGTATAATCCCTATAGAAGCTGAGTTGGAACACTAAAAAAATAAAAAATGAAAGATGTGCAACTAAGGTTGAAAAAAAAATGTGGCACAATTCTGACATCAAGAAAATTTGTCAAAAATATGAATCAGATTCCCACAAAGATAATCCCCAGAAAGGAAAGTGGTCTAGGTTCACGTAGAGAGTACAGAAAACAGACTCGCAAAACATGTCCAAGGACATCCAGGCCAGTGGAAGCTCAGGGTCCTCTAGGGGAGAAGCCGAGGGCACCGTATCACCCAGAAACAGGCTCCCAGGACCACAGGAGCAGCTGCCTCTCAGCGGCTTGCGTTCTTCACAAATAAGGGCTGGGAGGCCTCTTCCCCTGCGCCCAACTGTGCCCACGCCCAAGCAGCTGGGGCCATTGGTCACTGCCCACAGGTGGCCAGGACAGTGCAGCAGCAGCCCCTCTGCCCCCAGGGAAGAAGCCCCATGAAAGTCACAGCCAGCCAGCATTCTGAGCAGTGAGGACCGACACCGAAACAAGGAATCACTTAGAACAGCCATCTGCGCATCCTGGGGCTGTGGAAGGGGAGACCTGAGACGACAGACTGGAACCCAGAGGAGAGCACTCAGTGGAGAGCTGCAGATGGCAGACCATGTGGGTCCTGCAGCCTCCCAGGCCCCAGGTTTCCTGCCGCGCTCCACGGGGCTCTGCTCACCAACAGGAGCCGCCATGCTGCAGAGGGCCTCTGGTGCTGTGCTTAAGGCTGCCACACATACCTCCTGTGAATCTAGTGGCAACAGCGGAGATGCAGTGTGAGAAAGACCAGAGACCAAGAACCAAACGGCTCTGTGTACCAACAGCATGTGAAGCCCTCCTGGGGTACTGAGAAGACACAGGTAGGAACACCATAAAAATGTACCCCAAGATTTACTTCTGCCTTCCAAACCATGATCCTGCTTGTAGAAACAGAAATCCTAAGAAAATAACCCTGCTTTTTTAAGAAACACCTGTCTGCAGTGTTACCTTGGGGAAAAAAAAGAATTTTCATTTCAAAAAGAAGAGAGTTCATTCAGCTACGGCTCATCTGACTCTGCGGCCTGCACAGCCAGTTTAAAACACATTTGCAGCCCAGGAATGATCCTGTCTGAAGCTAAAGGGGTGCTAGAACTCACAGCCACTGAGCTCAGCAACACTTGACCAGCCACGGTGCCGATAGCGTGCAGTGAGGAGCCGGGCATTGCTCAGCTCTGGACAAGTCCCGGGAGGCACAAGTGGAGTGGGGAACCAGAATGACCCAGAGAGAAAGAGGGGGCAGCCTGCGGGGAGGGAGGTCGCAGGAATGTGTCTCGTTGGCTCTTGCGCCGAGGAGAAGATCTACTGGGGAGGCCCTGATCACTTGTCCTCCAAGCAGACACTGGCATCTGTGATGCTGAATGAGGAGACAAGGTCGCTCCTGGGAGCCCTTGGCAGTGATGTTTCAAGACGCACTTAGGGACATCCCTGGCACCAGGTCAGAGAGGGCAGGTGTGGTTGCTCACAGCTCCACCATCTGTGGTCCCAGAGGACTGGAATGGTGCTGCCCATCACAGCGCCCAACATCAAACTGCACTGCAGACACAGAGGAGGACCAGTGGACAGCAGGGTGGGGTGGGTGTTAAGGGGTCGAATCACGAACATGATCTTGCTTAGGTAAACCAAAAGGACAGACAGATTCACCCCTGCATGTCCATCAGGAGTGCCAGAGGAAGATCATCAGCATGGGTTAGCTGCCCATGGGGTGAGACCAGGAAGCAGACACATGTCTAACTTCTATGTTGTGGCACTTTAGAAAAACAGGTTTGGGGGCTGGCATTGTGGCTCAGCGGTAGAGCACTTGCCTAGCATGTGCAAGGCCCTAGGTTCGATCCTTAGCACCACATAAAAATAAGGACATTGTGTTCAACTACAACTAAAAAAATAAATATTATTAAAAAAAAAAGAAAAGAAAAACAGGTTTTGAATATACATCCTGGTTTGAAAGCAGATATCAGGGGACTTCTGGACGTGCAGCCACAGCTGCGCCTTTGTGATGCTGCGTTCCTTCTCATCTGTAAACTTCCTGCGTTCAAGCACTCGATTTGGCTTTCCAAACTCTAGTCCCCAGTCATGGTTGTGCCATTGCTGGACGACCCTGCCATGGGTCTGCAAGGGCTGGGGGCGGGGGTGGCTAGGCCTGAGCGAGCCCCAGACCCCAGGCTCATACCTAGACACCTGCCCAGATGTTGTGGAGGTGAGAGACCAGCTCTGTCCAGGCCCTGCCTTTGCATGTTGAGCTGCCTGACTGAAGCCCACAGCCAGCCTGAGCCGTATGAACCTTGGCACACTCCCTGTGGCCGGGCTCCCACGCTCTGTGGGAAATTTGGTGGCCTCAGACTGTGGCCCCCTGAGCCTGGAGTCCAACAAGATCCAGGCTTGCTGAAGTTGCTGAAGGACAAGGGTGCTGGCCCCAGCCGGGAGATGTGGCAGGAGGCTTGTGGGCCTCTGTCAGCAGTCAGCACTCAGGCCTTCGCAGCCTCCGCAGCCTCCGCAGCCTCCCACAGTCTGGGGTCCGAGTGTCCACAAACTTGACACTGGCACTCCAGTGTGCCACAGTGGCCCAGGAAACATCCTGGCCTCTCAGCCCCTCCCCAGTGGTGCTATCTCCATCCTACACCCCTACCCCCTGCCCGAAGCCCCTGCCCACCCAAGCTCCCTATTGAAGGTCCCCTGGGACTGAAGGAGCCAGAACCTGCTCTGCACCAGGGCCAGAGGCCTTGCCCACAGCTGGACCATGCAGGACACCATTTCCAGTGCTGAGCATGAGCAGAGGAGGGTGGCAGATACCCAGGTAGACTCCAGGAAGTGACCACAGCAAATGTAGGCCCAGGGAGGCCCTAGTGAGTACACACTGGCCTCCAGGGCATCCCACGGAAGCTGGCCATAGACTGGCCAGATGGTTGCACTCGCAGACAGCAGGGTCCACAGGGCCGGCCTGCCTGGTTGGGCCACAATGCTCAGGCAGCCTGGGGGTTCTTCCCACTGTCCACCATCCCAACCCAAGGCCAAGGCCACATGCCCCAGCTGCACCCAAAAGGGAACTTCTCTCTCAAAACATTGGAAACAGAACCAGAGAGCAATCAGCAGAAAGCAATAAAAAACCTCATTTGATTTTTCTGTAAAATGCCATAGGAGGCTGGAGCCAAACTGTGTGGCAAGACCACAGAGCCACAGCCTCCCACGCACTCACCCCACGAGGCCCCACAGGCTCTGAGGGGCAGACGCCGTCCCTGGGCACCAGGTCCCGAGAACCCTGTGGGCTGACGGTGTGAGGCGGGCGTGACACAGCAGAGGTGTGAAGCTTGTGAGGGGAGGCCCTGCACCTGTGAGAAGCTCTCTGGGGCCAGTCCCTCGGGGACTGGGGGGAGCAAGTGGGGGACGTGGCGGGGAGTACTGCCAGGCAGAGTTGCCCTCGTGGCTCAGAGCCACAGGCGCCACCTGCCCGCTCCAACCACAGTGCTGCTCTGACATGGCCATCGAAGGCAGCCCTGGACCCACTCGGGTGGCCAGCCACTGACCGTGCTCCAGGCGTGGACCCTGGGAGGGTGGGGAGGTGCCCACCCAAATTGGAGGCCCCCGGCCCCGGCCCCCACGGCCTGGGGGCTGCGCCTCACCTGCACACCCGGGGGAGCAGGCCTCAGGGTAGGCGGGGCCCCGGGGGAAGAGGGGCTCGCGGCCCCCGAGGCTGCAGCTCTCCTGGCAGCTCTGGCTGAGCAGCCGCTTCAGCATCTGGTTCTCCTTCATCAGCCGCACCTGCTTCTTCAGGTCCGCGTTCTCGCTCATGAGCCTGTTCATCAGCTCGCTGCCCTCAGCCATGGCGCGCCCTCCGTGCTCACGTGTAGGCCTGCGGCCCCATGGAGATGGAAGTCCAGAGCTCCCAGACCTACAGAAGCCAGCCAAGACCCTGGAGTTCCAGGGCAGCCGCCTTCCGCAGCCTTGTGATGTCGCTCCCTTAAAGAGACAGTGCCACCACCATCGGGGCCCCAGACGGGGTGGTGCCTGGCAGGCAGACGTCCACTGGGGCTGGCCCTTGGGATCCACACTTGAGGAAGGGCAGGCAGCGGGGGCCAACAGGGGACAACAACGTGATTCACTGAAGTGTCACTAACTGAAGACTCCGAGGCAGGGGACAAGGCCCTCTGGACCAACCAGGGGAGAGCTGGGGTACACTGACTGGGTCCCCCAGGAGAGGCTCTGACCTCAGTCAGTGACCACCTGGAAACCTGCCCTGCACTGCCTCTCCAGTGGCCAGGGAAGGCACTGGACAGGGCTGTTTCTGCCTTGGAAGGCACCAAGGGCATCTTGCCTTGTTGGGTGAATTCCACACCCACACCTTCCCTCTCCACAGCTGGAGCCTCCGCACCCAGCCCACGAGCAGCAGGTTGGTAGCTGGGTCACAGGCCTGACCAGCCGCCAGCATGCTGGCCAGGACCCACTACCCTTTCCAGATGCCACTGGACTCAGCTTATTACTGTTTGTGCTTAAAAGGGAATTGATAGGGTCTTTTTCTCCTCCCGTCCTGGCCTGGTTTATAACATCGCCTTATAGAATGAGGACACTCTATTTGGGATATGTTAGATGACTCCTTTCTTAAATGTTTGACAGAATTTACCAGAGAAGGCATCTAGGCCTAGATTTCTCCTGGAAGTTTTAGGGTTCTAATTCCATTTCTTTGATATGAGGTTACTTAGCTGCCTTTTCTTCTTGGGTCCATTTTGATGACTTTCTCAAAGAACTTGCCCTTGCTGTCCATCTGAGTAACCCTCAAGGACAGGCAGATAAGCCAGGTAGGGAGACAGAGAGGACCGTGGGGAAGCAGCTCTGGGGCCTCTTCACGAAGACCCACAGCCGTGCAAAGGGAGCTGTGAACTCAGAAGGCAAGCAGGGTGCACAGATGGCCAGGGCACAGCCAAAAGGTCAAGGCCCAGCCTCTGTGCGCAAGGTGGCCTTTCCACCATTCCTGGCAGCAGGCCATTTCCTGTCCTGCACAATCAGACTTGGAATGGGCTTGAGAATCTGCTCAGGTGCCAGCTTCTGGCTCCATGGACCTGTCACCAGACCTGCTGCCTCCTGCATGGGACCTCTGCTCTTCCTTTGCTCCCGCTGGCCTAGGCTTCCTGGTTGGGAGTGTGGGTCCTGGCTTAATCTTTCTTACTGTTCGTTTTGGCTACGTCACACAGTTTTGGTGTCATGTTTTTATTTTCATTCAGCTTAAGTATTTTCTGTTTTCCCTTGTGCTCACTTTATTTTATTTATTTTTGGTACTGGGGATTGAACCCAGGGGTGCTTAGCCACTGAGCCACATCCCCAGCCCATTTTTTTTTATAGAGACAGGGTCTCACTGAGTTGCACAGGGCCTTGCTGAGTTGCCCTGGGTGGACTTGAACTTGTGATCCTCCTGCCTCAGCCTCCCGAGCTGTTGGGATTATAGGAATGCACCACCATCCCAGCTCTTCATTTCAATGAGCTCCAGCCAATCCATTATTTTCTTCGTGGATGATGCGTTTGGAGTGGTACCTAGAATGTCATTGACAAACCCAGGGTCACCTAGGTTCTGTCATCTTCTAGGAGTTTTATAGTCTTCACATTTAGGTCTGAGATACACTTGATTTTTGTGAAGGGTTCATGGTTTACGTCTAGATTCACTTTCTGCTGAAGACTCCTTTCTCCATTGGATGGGCCCACCCCTGGGCTCCCTGTCCTTCCACTGCTGCCACAGTTGTGAGTCTCCAAATGGGAGTGCAGTCCTCCAATGTGGCTCACACCTCGCCTTTCGCCATAGATCATTCAAGTGTGTTATTTGATGTCCAAATATTTGAGATTTTCTGAATCTTCTGCCATTGAGTCCTTGCTTAATTCCATTATGCTCAGCACACTCTGTATAGTTCCAGCCCTTTTTAGTTCTGTGAGACTCAAGACCTGACTGATGTCCTGCCTAGGTGAATGGTCCAGGAGCACTGGAGTGTGTCTCCAAAGGCAGGCCCAGTAGGCCACAGCACTGGTAAGCACACACTGGTGATGATGTTCCGGTCTGTCCTCTGAACCTGAGTCCATCAGTTGCTGAGACAGGTGCTGAGGTCTCCCAGGACCCCTGTCAGTCTAGTTCCCTGTCTGGTCTGAGCACTTGCTTCGTGTATGTTGAAGAGGTCAGGAGCAGGTACGTCTAGGGGTGTTATGCTCTTCCTATATTGACCCTCTCTACTTCTGGTATTATTTCTTGTCCTAACCTCTCCTGTGGTGTTAACATAGTGCTTCTGTTTATAACTACTGTCTTCTTCATTTGTTCTTTTTAGATATACATGACAGTAGGACAACGTATTTTGACATAGTATACATACGGAGTATTCGTCTAATTTAGATCCCATTCTTGTGGTAGTAAGGAAAGACACTAGAGTGATCACTGTTTTTATGTTATCTAGTTTTCTAAACATTCACTCTTTTTTGAGACAGGCCCTCACTATATTGCTGAGGCTGGCCTCAATCTTTTAATCCTCCTGCCTCAGCTTCCCAAGCAGCTGGGATTTCAGGTGTGCACCCACAGCACCGGCTTAAACTTTTACTTTTAACCTGTCTCTAAAAATTTATTTTGGACAACTGTCGTGTTCCACGACTAAACACTCAAGTTCATTCCAGGTGAACTGGGCTGAATGAAATAATCACAGAGACAGAGAAATACCTTTTTCTCTGGTCCTGTGACAGCTCCTCTGACCTTAGGAGTCCATGGAAAGAGAGAGAGGAGCACATGCTGAACCCTTTTATTGGGGAGAAACCATTCAAATGAGGCAAGGGGTACGATTACAAAGGAACAGGTAAGCGTCGCTTAACTCCTCTGGGTGCCGCCTACTCCCAGGGCCACACCTTGTTATCCAAGGGAGGGAAAAGCCTGAGTCACTAATCGTGGCACTACACACCAGACTACAGTGATCCTTCAGATCCCGGTGGTGCTTCAGAATTGAAAGGTGCGTGGACTTGGAGTGGCTTCCCACGGACTACTCAGAGACAGGCCGTGCTCTCCATCCAAGGGCCAATGTCTGTTCTTCAGTAGGAGCACGTAGATCTTACGACTAATAAAACACTTAAAAGGGGGCTGGGGATGTAGCTCAGTCGGTAGGGGGCTGGCCTCACATGCACAAGGCCCGGGGTTCAATCCCCAGCACCACACACACAAAAACAAAGCTCTTGAAAGGATCAGTCTGTCTCCAGCTCATTAGGAGCTGAGTTCCCCTCTGGCCTTTGTTCTTTTCCTGCCTCCTTTTGAATTATTTTGTTCCTTCCTGAGCGAACTTTGAAGGGGTCTGTGACAGGGTTCACCTTGGTCACCTCTGACTTGCTGCAGCCTACTTCTCAGTAATAAACTATTTGTAACCTACCTCTTCTCATTCGAGTGGGGACCCAGCCCTGTGTGCTCCCTCCCTCCCTGGGCAGCCCGTCTGTTCCTGTTTTCATAGCTCCTTGTTAAAAACCCCACTATTTTTACTTTTAAATGTCAGTGGTGTTTTATTTTAAAGAGATTCTGTTTTAAGCAAAGAGGGAAAGCCCTCTGTCCTTGCCACCTCCATCTGGGTGCTCTTCCTTCCTGGGCTAAGAGCTGCTTCCACCTGGTACTACCTCCCTTCCACCTCAACACCTTGACATTTCCATGGGTCACCTGGTGGGAAATCTTTTCGGTGTGGGTCAGCTGGGAGAATGATTCACTCGTCTTCTGGTCAATTTGGCCAGTGTCCCCAGCACTCTACGCTGGCCCACACTGTTATCCTCGTCGTGCTCTTGAACGTGATCTGCTGCTCTGTGGCTTTCAGGACTCATATTTGGTGATGTGCCGGGGCACTGGCTGTCTGGATCCGTGGGCTTACAGGTTTCCCCGAGCAGAAGACCTGCCAGCCAGAATTACTTCAAGTGGTTCTGTGCTTCCGTCCCCAGCTACATGTCGGGCCTCTCACCAAGATCCAACAGGTCCCTGAGATCACGTGTGCTGTTCCAGTCTTCTGCCCATCTGGGAGCTTCAGCGTGCTTCTTTCCCCGGGAGACCTGAAGGCAGGCCTGTCCCAGGGAGCGGAGACCTTGGGATCACTCCTGTAGAGGCCTGTGCCTGGGGCTGCCTGAAGCCATGCTGCTCTCCTGAGTCCCAGGAGACCCCTGGACTCAAGACACCCTCTGGACCTTGCTGCCCCGAGTGCAGAGTTCCATCACACAGAAAACCAGGATGACTGTGCCATGGAACCAGTCGATTCTGGTCACGCACATCACCCCATCCTCCTGTATGAGGAATGGAAAGCTTCAAGTTAGTACTGCCGTCTCAGGGAAGATGGCAGGCACCCAGTGCCCGTGCTAAGTTCACCCAGCTCTGCAGAGCCACACCCTGGCTTCCACTGGGCGACCTTCCAGGTCTGCTCTCAGGGCTCTGGCTTGACCACCATGCCCTCGTGGAGAGATGCTGTGAGGAGCAGCCCAGGGAGACCTGGGGTCCCCTCTACCCCCTCTGGATGCCCCCAACTAGTGGGCTGCACACCTCCTGGGCCACAGGGGTGTCCCTGCCAGTGCTCCCTGGAGGCCAAGCACATCTACAGTCTGGCAGAGAGTCAGTGCTGACCTCATTCATGACCCATCAGAATGTCTCCTTTTTCTAACCTTCATTCCATTCTGAAACAAACTGAATCGTAAGTGACTTACGTTGCAGATGAGGAAATGAAAATGAATCAATTTCACTGATCAATCACACATGGCTATGTTGTCCTATTTGCTGAAATCAGAGAAGAATGGAGCAACAGCAGCAAACAGCTTTTGGGAAAATAGGCCAAAATATGCATCTACACAGCCACATCCCATGAGGGAAAAGACCTTCTTAGAGACGAGCTTCATCCTGTTAAGCCTTTCCCACTAGAGACTCCCTCCAAGAAGCCATCTGATTCCCACATTAGCAGACACCCAGCAAACCCAGGGCAGCTCCAGGCCTGCAGCACATTCAGAATCTGCTCCTGACAACCAAACCCAAGACCCCTCAGGGACTCACTCAGTTCAGAGCCTGCTTTCACTCATGCCAAGGTAAGCATGCCCCTTCAGTAAGGGGGACATTGGTCCCTAAGCAGCTCTCTGGCACTGAACTGAGGCCACGAGTCCCACTCTCCCCACACAGGGACAAGGAGGCAGTCTCAGAAAACCCCAGAGCACAAGTTCCCCAGACCAAGCAAAACAAGCACGATGTTCTTCTCCCCATGGTTTAAGTGTCTCTTTATTACGGAAGCTGGTCATGTAGGTGACTTTCCGCATAAAAGTCAGTTTGCAGCTTCCTTCTGGAAAACCTGTGTCTTCTACAGTGATCTGGTCTTGGCTGGAAGTTTCTGGGCAGACCAGCTGCCGCTAGGCCAGGTCTAGCAGAGAGGGGCTGGTCAGCACGGGCAGCAGCGCAGGCTGTCACCGAGGCAGGAGAGCATGGAACCATGCTGTGCAGGCTCAACAGGGCTGGGCAGGAGGCAGAGCTGTGCACCTGCACTTGAGGAGGCAGCCCTGGCGGGTCCTGGGCAGGGGCAGGTGATCAGAGAGGCATGGGACACACTTCTCCAGCCTCTGAGGGAGGACAGTGGGCCAGTCCAGGAGGGGCAGGGGTGAAAGCAGCAGCCCGAGGAGGGACTGTGGGGCCCACTCATCACATGGCTGGGGGGGAAAGCTGCCACTGGACACCCTGAGCGCCTGAGTGCTCTTCCACGTGGCAGAAGGCAGAGCCAGGGCCCAGTCTTCTTCCCTGAGCCCAGGCTGGGGTGGGAGGAATTCAGAGCTCACTCAGGCACTACTCTGGCAAAATGGCCCTCCATCCCCACTCATAGCAAGCACCTGACATGGAAGTTGGCAGTGGCCAAGGGATACCCTGAACGTTCTTCTGGGTGGGTGGCAGCTAGGGATGCTCGACTGTCCCTAGCACACAGAAATGCCCCTCCGAGGAACCACCAAAACTGCACCCACCCTCCCTGGCCTGCAAAGCCTGGAGGTCAGGACGCGAGCAGCCATGGATGGATGCAGTGCAGACAGGCGAGCTCACGAGCCAGGGGCAGGCCAGTGCCACGCTGGGCTCCCCACCACGCAGCCTCAGGGTGTGCACTGAATCCTGGTACATCACGGTGAACAAGAGCCCAGCCCACTCCCCGCCGGCAGGTCTCTTATACCATCGTTGAGGGGCTGTGTCCCTCCCTTACCCAGCATGCACAGGAATGTGGGAGCAGCTAGCCCAGGTCCCATCCCCAATCAGCAGCAGGTGGGGAGTGCACGGGGCCCAGCAGCTGCTCTCCTGAGAATGCAGTCTCTCCAGCCTTCCTCCCTCAGGCAAGAAGTGCGCCAGGGACAGCATGAGGTGCTGCGGCTTGTCTGACGTCACAGTCAGACTCGCTCCCTTCCTCCCCGAGCCCTCTCAGAACCAGACCTACATTGACAATCACTCTGGCAATTGTAGTCTGAAGCCACGGACCCAGTCCCTGTCCCTGCCTCAGGACTGATCCCAACACATGTGCCGAGGTGGAGCAGAGGGCTACAGCACAAGGCAGGGAACGGGCACCTGCCACCTGGCCAAGACAGCTCAGTCTTGTGGGCACAGGTGTGAAGATGACGCTCGCCACCTGCAGCAGCCAGCACAGGTTGGCATACTCTCAAGGGCAGATGCACTCAAGGGCGGCCAGTGAGGGCGCTCTCGGGGTACAGGTTGGCGAAGCGGCCCAGGACCCAGATGGGGAAGATATTCCTGTAGCTGGTGTAGCTGATGGCACAGGACTTGTTGAAGACCCCAGAGATGTTCTCCTAGAAGGACAGAGAAAAGGGCACCAGGGCCCAAGGGCCTGGTCATGGACCGCAGCCCTGGATGCCACAGGGTTGGTGCACACCTAAGCAAGCAGGGGCAAGGGAAACTGAGGCTGGCAGTCCTCCTGCCCAGCCTCCGCCCAGCTGGGGGCTGTCACCTTTAGCAAACCCTCCCTGGGCCTCCAGCCCTCACGGCCACACCAGCTTCTGCAGGACTCCTGCAGGGAAGGGGCTCATGACTCCCACCCTCTGGGGACAGGTAGAGCCTGCACCTGTGCCTCCTGAGAGTGAGGGGCCACGTGAGCTCCCACGCAACAGGGCAGTCAAGGGTTGTGCTGCGAGGGCATCTCCCACCCAGCCCCCTGCCAGAACTTGATTGACTGACAGCAAGACCTGCTCAGAACTGGCAACCTGCCCCAGAACTCCATCTCACAGGCCTCTGGTTGGCAGAGTATCTGCACCCCAAGCCCCAAAACACCCAGTGAGGGACACAGGGGAGGATGTGAGAACCCACGAGCAAGCCAATGGCCGGCACTGGGTTTCACGCACCTGGGGCCAGTCACCATTGGGAAGCTGCTTGTCCAGCAGACACTGGACCCCTCTCTCCTGGGCTGTGATGTCAGGGTGCCTGGGGAGAGGAGATACTTGCTCAGTGGTGTGCACAAACACAGATGGGCGTGAGTGTGTACTCACCGTAGTGCACCAAGCTCACAGAAAACCCACGACACTATAATGGTAGAACAGCTCAGCCTCCATGGTAGAGGGGAGCAGGGCAGGTGGGACACGCCGCCTGCACACCTGTGCCTAGAACCCAGCTGAACGTGGAGCTTCCCAGGCGGGAAGGCTGAGCCACACGCCCACTCAGCATGCTGGAAGCCAGGCAAGTAGGTGCACTGAAGTGCTCGATGCCAAGGATAGACACCAGAGGGGACTGTGGGCATGGGGGTGCTGAAGTCAGCCTTGGGGGAGACCAGGAACAGACCCCTGACAGTCCTGCCCCGGGTGCCCCTGACTGTTGTACCTGCTCACACCAACTGAGAGGATTCCGGCTCCACACCAAAGAGAGCAGCCGACTGGAGCACGGCATGCACGCCAGCATGTGTGTCCACTCATGCACAAGTCTGCACGTGCACCTGTGTGCATCTGTACATGTGTGGCTCAGCATCAGCTGTGACCACAGGAGGACTGGCTGCAGGGACGGAGGCAACCACTGCTGCTGCCACACGGGAAGCAGCCCCCGGCACAGCCTACGTCACCCCAGTCTCAGGTCTCTGCTTCCCTTGCTCTGCCAACCACTGCCGGCCACCAACGCTGTCACCAGGAGACCTCTCTCAGGACCCCACTCAGCTGGATGGGCTGCCACCTAACCAGGAAACATGGCTCCTGGAGGAGCTTCTGTCCCCCGAGTGACAGCTGAGCAGCAGCATAGTCCTGTGGCCCCCTCGACTCTCTCCACATCTGCACTTGACCCAGGCTACCTGCTGACCATTGAGGGTCCCTCCATCCCGTCACTCTTACCTGACAGCCATCAGCCCCATCAGGGCCCAGCATGTGTTGTGGATCTGGGACTGGGCACTCTGCACGTAACGCTGCTGCTCACAGGACTCAAAGTCCTCCCCCCAGCCTCCATCCACCATCTGCCGGGACAGCAGGAAGTCACAGGCCCGGGAGACCTCCTCACAGGCAGCCCTGCAGAGACCAGGAGACTTGAGACACCCTCACTGAAAGTCAGGGCCCCCAGATCCCACCCTGGCCAGCAGCCTCAGGGCCACGGAGAGGGCCTACAGCTGTGAAGTAGGGACACACACCTGCCTCCTGAGCTGCTCAGCACAGAAAAATGCTCTGCAGCTTCAGGCAGCCTCACGGCCGCAGGCTGAGTTCCTGACACAAATCGGGAATAGCTGGGTTGTATCCGGTCAAGCACAGGGCATAGCACACTCCACCCCTGCAGCTCACTGGATCCAGAAGGGCTGGGTGGGGCAGTCAGAGGCAGGGCTTGGACCCAAGGCTTCACCCCTCTCTCAGCAGGGCCCAGGGAATGTCCTGGACCCTAGCCCTCCTACTGGTTGGGGAGCAGGTATGTACAGGGAAGGTGTGGGATCATCTCTGGAAAACTCTGAGGTGGCCCCTAGCCAAAGGCTCCCAAGCCAGGGAAACATCTTTGTTCAACCTGGGATTCACATTTTCTGGGATGCTGTTCTTATCTCACTGTTTAAACATACTAAGAGATCCCAAAATCAAACATCAAAGGGGAAAACACCACACAGAGGGCCAATGGCCCCAGAGCTGCACTCACCCATCACGGTAGGTATGCCCCATGCAGGCGAAAGCTTCCAGGCCAAACCAGGTGCCATAGGTGAAACAAACCCCCCAGGAACTGGAGAGAGAGGGGAGAGGGCCTCAGGCTCAGGTTCTCACCCTGGAGGAGGGGGTGTCCTTGAACAGAAAGGGCGGGGCTGGGCCAGGAAAAGTATCCGTATGTCCCTAAATGAGCTGCACCACCTGCAGGGCCCTGGCATGAGGTTGCAGCCCACTGTGTCCAGCATCCAGGTACAGGAGCTTGTGAAGATTTATAGTCCCATACCTGGGACACAGGGACAGTGTGGGCATAAGAGGCGGTGCCCACCTGGCTCAGCTGCTGCCCCCCTAGGTGGACTGGGGAGACCCCAGTGACATGGCCAGGGAGGAGAAGCCATCACACTCAGACCACAGAGCACTTCCACACACAGCCAACTGCCCTGCAACAGGCAACATGGGGACGCACACAAGAGAAGCCTGGCCACAAGCAGGAAGCCAGTGGGCAAGCCCAGCCCCACCCTCCACCACGCCCAAGAGGCCAGGTGCTGACTCACCCCTCCCAGGAGCCGTCAGCCCTCTGCTTCTGCTGACAGAACGCCAGGCCCCGCTCCAGTGTCTCCCTGGAATATAGGCGGAGCCCAATAAGCACTCCAGCAAAACCACAGTGCCCACCCCAAGCCACGCTCTCTGAGAGGGAGCATGCTTTCCTTTAGAAAACAGTCAAAACGACCTTCTGACAGTAGGAAAAGCAGCAGCCACAGGACACAGGAAGGGGGAAGCAGATGGTCAGAGCTTCAGAAAGAGAGGCAAGAGGAAGGCCTGGGGGATGAGGCCTGTGCTGGGTGCAGCCAATAACAGGATCGGCCTCGGTCCACGCTGTCAGCCACAGGCCTGGGCCTGTCCCACAGGGTGAATGGGAGATCGGCCACAGACAACGTCATCGCCACACCACAAGCCTCAGCAAAGCATAAGAAAAAAGAAAAGAAAATTTGGTTATAG